GCTGGCCAATCACAGCTCTCTAGAGGGGTTTCAAACACATAAAGAGCTGTGATTGGTCCATAATGGTGGGCCAATCATAGTGCTCTATCTGCTTAGTGAACAGATCACAGAGCTTTATCTGCTTTGCGGGCCAATCAGGGCACTCTATATGCCTGGTGGGTGGGATGATGCAACAGTGTGAAAAAAGATGGCGACAGCTCATTTGACACGGCTTTTACATCAATGTTGGACGATTAGAACTTGGGCTTCATTAGAATCAGGAGCAGATAGATGTATTTAAGTGCTTTTTTTAAAGAAAAAATTATGTGTTTTCTCCTTCTTCAACTGCGGACCGCCTCATTTACCGATGGCTGTTGCGGTGAGTATGTCACATTCATTGTCCAGTAGCATGCGGAGATAATTTGAAAGACAACAATAGAACCCGCCCCACAACCGAGAGCCGTCAATGGAGCGTTGCCAGACTAAATGATACATTTATTTAGTCTGGCTTGCCAGGCTATGATAAGGCAGCATCCACAGCAACATTGAAGAATGAAACCTCCAGCCTCTTCAGGGCATCACTGATGGGCTCATCAGTGGCTTCATAAGAGTAGTGGCGCTTGGTAGATCTCAACCTTTTCTCTTTCAGCACAACCTCCACATTCTTGTCTGCACATGTGTCTCTGGCTATTATCTGAGCAGACTTAAAGCCAGTTTCCCTATACTGCTCAAGACTTCTGTGCGTATTTCTAAGAAGATTGACAGCTACATCCACTGCCATATTTGGTGACTGCACAAGCTTGCTGACATGCTGAATCTGGAAGAGGATGTCATACCAGACTGCTGTGCAGATACTAAATCTGTACGAACCAACCTCCTCTGACAAGGACTGGGCTTCTACCTTTGTTTTTGGTTCCTTGGTAGTATCTCTTACCTTGATCAGTGCTTCTCGCACTGCAGCTGCCTCATACCTGAAAGGTTCGATGCTCTTAATTTTACTCTCCCACCTTGTGTCGGACCACATCTTCAAAGTGAGATTCACATGGCTTTTAAGAATAGCCCATCTTTGTGTGGAGGCGGAAAATAGGTTGTAGATCTTTTGAAGGATGCCAAAGTAGCTCATGGCATCAACTGAATCGTTGGCAGCATCTGAAACCACCAAATTTAGAGTGTGTGCTACACATGGCATAAAAAGAGCTCTGGGGTTTTCTTGTAAGAGCCGAGCTTGTACTCCTTTGTTTTTTCCACGCATGTTGGATCCGTTGTCGTACGACTGCCCTCTGCAGTCCTCAAAAGGAATGTCTAATTCTTTCAGTTTGTCCAAAGTCATCGAAGCCAAATGACTGCCTGTGGACTCAACTGCCTCAAAAAAAAAACAGGAAACATTCTTTCACAAGAGGTGTCGTCTCTTTTACCTCCACAAACCGAATCACAACTGACAGCTGCTCAATGTTGCTGTTGTCAGGAGTGCAGTCAAGGATGATGGAAAAGAACTTTGCCTGCTTTATCTCACTTACTATTGTTGAGATGATCTTGTTGCTCAACAACTCAATCAGCTCATTCTGGATTAGATGACCCAGGTAACTGGTGTGACCGGAGGTTCCTCTTTGAATGTGGTTAATGTGTTCCTTCATGATCGGGTCAAACCTGGCCATAAGTTCAACCTCTTTTAAAAAATTTCCATTTGATCGTGTGAAAAGCGCTTCTGTGTGCCCCCTGAGTGCCAAGTTCCGAACTGCCAGTGACTGCACAATAGCAGTAAGACGTGTCAGTACTGCTCTCCATCTCACCCTCCCATCCTCCAAAGGTGCCGTCTCCTTTTTCATCAATAGTTTCGCCCTTCAGTATCTTTCCAGGTTTTCATACAGTTAATGTGGTCGGGGCTTTTCTCATGTGAGTTCAGTAAAGAACTTGCATGTGTCCAATCTGCCAGGCCCGAGGTGGTTAACTGGATACTTCTTTTTGAAAACAACTTACAACAGAAACAAACAAGGCTATTGTTGCTGAGTACAACATCCAGCTCCTGGCCACCTTCTCACCACTTGTCAAAGCTCTACTGAAATAGTGATGATGTCAACATCTGCCATCGCCTTCATTCCTCGGAAATATAAAAGTAGTTGGCACCTTGGTAGGTCCTCTTCGAACTAGCTCTGTGCGTATGCTGTCGGTAATTGGTGATGGCCACTTGGCTGGGTCTGAAGAAAGAGGCTTATCATCACCTTCAATGGGAACATAGCCGCAGCGTGCAGCACACATAGCGCAACATGATGACATCATCGACTTGTACAGTACAGATGTGCTAAAAAAAGACGGCTCTAGCTATTATAGTTTTTACTTTATGGCAGTTTACAGTTTAAATGGGATCTTACTAGCAGGGCACCTCCAGCGGCCCGCTGCCGCTCGGTTTTTCATGGGGTAAATAATAGCTCATTTCCCGATTCCAAAAAGAAAGGCGAAAGGCGCGAGAAAGCTGGACAACCTGCCGTGGTGATCAATACTAATATCAATGTATTTCAGCAAAATTCTCGAGGACTCGTTTTTATTTGATAGCGTTTGGTTTTCCACTCTTAGCTTTTCATAAAAGCTCATTTGATAAAGAAAAAGTTAGCGGATGGAAGTCGTTCTAAATACATGCAACGTAAGAAGCTAGCAAAAGACATTTGAAAGGATCATCATAGCACCATGCAAAATGTACAGATTAGAGAGGTTAATTAATCAATAAGTTGGGGGATAGGTGGGAACAATACCAACTAAATAATAAAGACACTCATACCTGCATCTTTTCCTCGTTTCTCCTCCTCTTCTTTTCTTTTTTTTTCTAAATTGGACACCAGATGGCTTCGACCGCTTCTTCTCCATTATGTTTGTGAGTGGTGATATGTCAAACGGTACCTGTATCCCTCCACCATCATTCTCCGAGATCCCTCCGCCCCCACCTGATGAAGGGCGCTATAGAGCGCACTATCCCACCCTGCATCCACAGAGGCGCGGCGGACACAAGAGGGTGCAATTAAATCACAATATAAACGCAAACAATGACCTTGTTGTGCTTTTATTACAGAAATATTGTGATTATCATCACTCATCACTATTATTATTATGAAGAACATGCGATTTCTATGTTTTGTTTATGTATTGGTTGATGCTAAAAAAAAGAGGAAATTAAATGCCGTCCCCCCCCCCCCCCCCCCCCAGACTGCCGCCCTGTTCGGCCGCACGTGTTGCACATATCAAGCTCCGCCCCTGCCTAGTTCTTCAGTACACTGAGTGTTAAAGTTAGTCTTGTTTAAATTGTGTAGAAATAAATTTCTTAACTATTATAAAGCTGACTCTCTCTCTTTCCTCAGAAATAATACGAAGTGTTGCGTAATCCCTGCAGTAAAAAGTTCTGATCTTCTGGTTAAAATATTCAAAGATCCATCAGATTGATATTTCATTTCTCTATGGAATCTCACATTTTATGGTTCATAAGTAAGATGTAAACGACCCATCGTTACATGTTGGCGAGCCTTAAGCCAGTTATCTGTTTATTATGACATTTCGTGTTGATTCTGAGTCATTTTAATCGATAAAACACTTAAAATCCATCAAAAACTGATGTGTTTGGTGGGAGACAAAACATTTCCAGGGAAACATGAAATGAATGAAAGCTGTAAAGGAAAACTTTACTTGTTTTGTTGTAGTAGGAATTTGTCTAACCAGATTCAAGTGTCCAATGGATCCACAAAGGAATACGAACAAAAACTGACAGCTGAGAGAGTCGGCACCTTCTAGAGAACAAATATTACAGGAGTTCAAACATTAGTTCAGCTTAGTCCACTTGTGTGAGATGCAAACATCCCATAATCTCAGTTCTGTATAAACATGTAGGCCAGCTCAGGAACCGGTCAGGAACAAACCTCAGGAGTTATAAATAAAGAAATATATTTATTATTAGGAAGTGAAACCAGGCACTGCCATGCCTGTGTGAAACGTAAAAGCACCAGTCAGAGGAAGCTGGGATGCTTCAGTTCTGTTTTCACAATAAAAGAGTTTCACGAACAGCAAGGGAAGGTAAAGGAAATTTGTCTCGGGCCGCAGTGTCACATAGGGAATGTTGCTGCGTCATATAACAAAAGGGAAGCCAAAACCAAGGGAAAAAGTAAACCGTATCACTCATAACAGACCGCTGCTTGCCACTCATTCCTATTTTATTCAGCATTTCAACTCATAGTAATATAACCACATTAACGAGAAGATTAAACGTTTAAATGACCAGGCTGCAAGTGACTCAATGCCATGCCGTGAAGAGATGGACGAAGTCCAACACATAAAATCTACATTAGTGAGTGTTTGCTTAAAAGTGCTGCTGCTGCGGGAAGGAGAGACAACCTAAAGCAATGTAACCGCTCTAAATGTCTTCTGAAAATGCCTCTAACAAGCAGAGAAAAGGTTCTTTCAGTAGGACAAAGCACACAACACACACACACACACACACACACACACACACACACACACACACACACACACACGCACACGAAGGCTGATGTGCTTTGCGACAGGATTTACTCAGTTTGCATCCGTGGGCTGTTTGCAGAGGTGTGTTCGCCGTGGAGCATTTACCTTCTGTAGAGAGAAGAGCTGTCGTAGCATGAAATGCAGAATTGCACGAGTGTTTATACAGTGGGCACTGATGGAAAGCTCTGCCAGAAGTGACACCAGAGATGGATCAGCTCTGGAGGGTGATGTTCTAATTTCATAATTAGCGACATAAAGACCAAAACCACTGAGCACAGCTGAGATTTCACTTCACTGAAGTCTGAACTAGCTGGATGACAAGAAGAGGAACTGAGCATGAAACACGTTTGACCAGGTTTCGGTCATTCGTTCCACTTTTCACTGTGACAGGCCTGGTGTTTGTGGGGGTTCTCCCCTTTCACCCTACCTCTCCTGCTGAATAGGTTTAGATATTTCTACATATGGACACACTTTAATGACCAACATCTTCTTGTTAATTTGACATGTTTATTTTTCTTCTCCAGCCAGTAATGTGGAGGTGTTGATGTCAGGAGGGACGCGGTGCTACAGCGTGGTCATCTCCGCCATGGACGCTTTCCCCGAGGTGGAGGAGCTCCAGGAGTTGGGCTGCTGCCTGTTCAGGAAGTTCACATCAGGTCACCACCATCCTCCACCCTCTGATAAGACATGTTTACTTTTTTATTAGCCAACTGCAGTAATTGCTGGAAGAAAATGTTGAATAAAGAGAAAGCAGCATTTGGATTCTCTGCCAGTGACTTATGGTGTCTCCTCTCATGCTGACAGTTTAAGATGACTGTTGCTGAAATCCATTCAGTCCTTTTTCAACTAGATTCACTCCGACAAACAAATGCACCTTGGAGATGAATAATGACGTTTGATTTGCTGAATGTTTGGCTGTTGCTGTGTTCTGTTTTCATGCAGAGAGCTACTATAGCATCCTGGTGCAGAACAGAGTTCAGAGAGTAGCGGTGAGGGCCTGTCAGACGTTCCCTGACAACGCCATGCTGCAGGCTGCATCCCTCTCCTGTCTGGCTCACCTCAGTGAGGACACACTTTCACTCTGTTTAACTTCCTGTGATAAAGATAACGTGTCAGAGTTCAGTTCCTTCATCTACACCCAGACATGCAGAATGAAGTAATCACAAACATGAAGTACGCTAAAATATCTCTGAATCAGCGCACCATGGTCCATTCTAATAGCTCGGTTCCACAGGGGTTCAAGGCGGGTCGGGGCAGGGTGGGCTGCTGTTTTTTCTGTCTCGCTGATATTAAAACTAGTCCACACAGCCGACGCGGATCGCGCCACTGACGACCCTTTCATGTGGAACAGTACAATTAGGGCGGAGCGACAACACAGTCCACTGATTGGGGGACAGAAATACGTCAGTACTTGCAACAACCAAAACAAACCTCAGAGTTCTGGTGTTTGTATTTTCATTAGTTGTACACAGATGTGAGAAAAAGAGCAAGAAACAGCAAGTTTTGGCCATCTTCAGAGCCCCATACATTCCTCACCATCGTTGTGAGAGTCCACACCCAGGAGCTAGACTGATCAGTACGGAACGCAAGTCTTTAAAGAAGTGTCTCAGCGGATGGGAGCCGAAGGAATTGAACGGACTTCGGAACGGTGTCAGGCCAAGCTGAAGACATGAAAGCCCATTACAGAAAAGTTAAGGTCAGAAACAGCTGGACTAGAGACGAAAGAAATACATGGAGGTGTTACGACGTGCTGGATGCTATTTATAGCCACAGACCGACACACAGAGGCAGGCCTGGACTCAGTCGCATGTGGAGCTGTTGGTTAGCATTTGTTTTTATCTTTAGATCTACAGACCGTTCATTGCAGCACAAAAATCAGTGGCGGCTGGTGACATTTTTTTTGATGGGGCCAAGTTAGCAGGTGTGCAGAAAGGCGCATGCCAACTGAGATTTGCATGACCTGTTATGGGAAGGTGCGTATGAATAACAAGGTTTTTAATAAGTTTGTAATATTAACTTGTTTCTTATTTGCTTCCTTATAAAATGATGGTTTATGGGCAAATTAAAAAATGACAGTTTATTTAAAAAAATATATAAAATATTTGTAATTTCAAGTCAAATTCCTGGTTTTTTAAACCAACAGCAAAATTCAAGCAAGCAGAAACAATAATATAAAAATACTCACTAAACATTAGTCTCTAAGCGTAAGTATTTCATCATTAATTCATCATATTTCTAGTCAAAAACAAAATGTTTTCAGGAGAAACGCGGATTAGAAAAGTGTCGACATTATGAATGTATTAAAAATAGCCTCATAATTCTAATAATTAAGTCTGATATTTGCGGTTGTGACGACTGGGCTGATTTCAGATGTGCTATCCACATATCACCACCAGGGAACGCCAAATCACCATTCTTGAGTCACCGACAGACCAGTAACAGCAAAATTGTTCTACAAACATGTTTAATATTCACCATTATATGCAAATTCAGCATAAAAAACAAACAAAGCTAATCTTATGAAGTTAAAAGCATTAACTCAATCCTGCCTTTGCCGGTTTAAGGCTGTAATAATCCGTGGTATAGTAAAAATACATCCACTTCTTCTGATGCAACATCCCATCATTTTCCAGTTCTTCATAACAAAAAACTCCACGAGGTGAACTCCGCTGCTCTACAGCAACCAAGGACGGTGAACTGTGGAGAATTTGCGGTTCTGACCTGAGACTTTGTCATGCCGGTCTTCTGCACGTGCCAGTTAGTGTAGGTCTGTGGTAGATTTGGTAGTGTTAAAAGTGTAAATAACATTTTTAAACTTCACTCAAATGCAGATTAAACTCAGCACCTGTAGTCTGTATGATGCAGAGATCGTTTAGTTTCATTTTCATGTATGTTTTATATATATTTTGTGAGTCCTATGTTCTTCTTCTGAAGCCCCCTAGGCACGAGCCGCCACCAACAAAAATATTTAATAGTTGCACTTATTAACTTATTTCTAAAATGATGCATAACGCATGATGGTACGTTTAACCCCACCTGCAAACACGAGAGCCCAAACTGCAAAAGAAGCAAAGACTCGTACTGGTCCACATCTGCTGACGATGACCTGCCCTGTCCCGCCCCGTCCTGAACCCAGCAGCGGGTCTGAGGCTTTAGGGAACTCCAGAGCTAAAGAAGTGGTGGGGTTCGAAGACCAAAACCTCTGCTGACCAAAACAACTCAACAGCCCATCTCAGATTACCAAAGAAACATTTAGCTAAACCAAAAGACTTCTGGGTGCATCATGAGCCAAACTAAGACTAAAGCATCACCATAGCAACAGTCAGACATGGTGGTGGTAGTGTGATGGTCTGGGGCTGCTATGCAGCTTCTGGATCTGTGCCAGGAGTTTCTCTGCTTGTGTGCTCTGATTCTGGTGGCCAGTAACACACACACACACACACACGCACGCACGCACGCGCGCACACACACACACACACACACACACACACACGCACGCACGCGCGCACACACACACACACACACACACACACACACAACAATTAGGTTACATCCTCTGAACATTTTAGGGTCTTTTTGGAGAAGAAAGTTTGATCTTTTACTAAAATGTAACAAAGCTGAGCTGACAGCTGTTGCCTTTCTAGATTTACATTCACTCAGTAAAGACACGTTAGCATCTTTGTAAACTTGATTATAAAAACTAATTACTTTTGTTGTTCCTTCAGGGTTAGATTAGGTATTTAGCTGTGAGGTGTTTTATTTAAATCTTGTCTTTACCTTCTATCAGCGGCAACCATCGTCCAGAGCAAGGCGGTGGCCGAGCAGGGTCTGGAGGAAGGAGAGGAGGAGGAGAACAGAGGTAAAGAGGAGGTGGAGGACATGGGCCTGTGCTGGATGGAGGACTGCTGTACTGCACTGGAACTGCACGCTGCTGAGGCCACCGTTCAGGTGAGCCCAGCATCTTCTAGCCCTAAAGCCCTTGAAAATACCCAAACACCATCATCTCATCCCCTTTCTGCTGCTCCAGGAAGCAGCGAGCTGGGCCATTCACAACCTGCTGCTGCACGGAGAACGAGGTAACCACCCAGAGGAGGAGTCAGACGGCAGGTACACATCACACAGATGAAGCGTCAAACACACCTGCACAGCTTTCAGTTCCTCTACCCAACCAGATGAGTGTTTTCCCCTGCAGGACTCCTGTTCACAGACAGCTGATGGCTGCCATGCTGCTCCACTCCTCCTCTCCTAGTGTGTTTAGAGCTGCTACCACCGCCATTGCCACTCTCATCACTAACAACAGTGAGCTGGCCCTAGACTGCTGCACACTTGCTTGTTTTCTACTTTGAATACATTGTTCTGTGTAATGTAGATGTATTGTCTTTGTTCCTGATATCGATCAGTCACAAGTATATGTTCATTCAGTCCAGTCTCACTTGTTTTTCTTATGTTTTACAGTGCAGAGTGGCAGACTAAAGACAATAAATACATTGAAGTTATACATAGAGGGTCACAGTGTCGGGAGACACAGAACACAGATTTCATCATCTTGCAAACAGGGTGTCACCAAACAGCCGTGGTTGTGTGTGATTTCTGATCAGTATTGGTTAAACCCTGCTGTGTACGTGGTTATACCCACCAGGATCTATGTAAACACCAGCTGGTGATGTTAAAGGATGCTAAACAGGGTTTATAAAAGCTTTTTCAGCCAGCTGAAACCAGAGCCTCTAAAGGAGAATTTGACCTGCTTTAAAGCTGGAATCTGGAGTGTATTTATTTATAACATTATGTGATGAACAGAGTTTCACTTTACACTGGAGCTGATAAAAAAACAACAAAGTCGGGATCCCTGCCAGTTTCTGCTGCTGGCTGGGTCACCGGGTTCAGCTGCTACTCACACACCCGGATGAGACGAGGTATCTCTTAACAGCGACGCTCATCATATTAAATAAAAACATCATTTTTACACGCGTGGTCCTACATTGGAACAATATTTAGTAATTCACTGAAGTGGATGGAAATGCATGTCCTCCTAGCTGCTAGTTTGTCCGACAGCTGCCGTCCATCGCCGTCTTCTGTTTCCATCAAAATGATTCAATAAAAAACGACACACAACAAACTGGTAACGTTTTACTGAGAGACCAACCAAATAAAATGCTACAAACTGGCTTGTTTTGAACAGCTTCACTGGAATGTCAACGTGCACAAAGAGTTTTTCTGCCATCCGTCATGGCTAAGGATGCGTGAGGTCACGTGCAAAAGGTCAATTGGCTAATGTTGAACGACGCTCAATTCAAATTGCATGGGGCTCTATGGGACCTTAGGGGTCTAGCAAAAAATTAAAATGGTATAATACCTACATTATATTCCAGTGCAGGTTAGCCCTGACGCTTTATACATTTCTAAATAATCCTGCATATTTCTTGCAAGGGGAAAACTCCAGATTGCTGATTTAAATATGAGATTAAAACACCAACTGGAGCAATGAGGTCATTTTAATCCTGCTAACCTGAAAGTGAAAGTACCAGAGAGATCATGAACTCTCGTTAGCTGCCGTCTGTTCTCTGGTTATTTTAAAGTTCCTGTTAAAGTTCCTTATTTGGAAGAGAAGGGAGGAGCTTATCGTGGAATGATGGCAGCAGTACATTTCCTGTGTCGGGTACAGATAGCTTCTGCTTTGCCTGCAGGCAGAATGAGCTCCTTGCTGCTGTCCAGCGGCCTTCATGTGAACCTGGTGGAGATGATGAGGAGACATCTGAGCTCAGCAGAGGTTTCCGTCAGTGCCTGTAAACTGCTGAAGCTGCTCTTCCAGGGGAGGTCTGTGATATTCTTACTGATTAAAAAAAAAGCACGTCACCTCATTTAGGATTCATTTCTCATCACAGAGCACAAAATGGTAGAAATGGGTCAAAACGACACAGATGATGATAAAATCTTCCCCAGCTGAGCGAGGAGGCATAAACACAATAAAATAAATAGAAAGCTTCCTACAAAATAAAAGCATAATGCACTGATGGGACTCAGACGGATCTAGAGTCAATAAAGCAGTTATCCCCAGACAATCACGCTGGTTTCCCATCTCGCAGGATCATCTGCAGGATTTTTGGTTGCACAATCTTTCATTTAAGCGTCACTGTCACAACCTTTATCCATCTTTTTTTATGATTAACATGTTTTCTTGTTCATCAGATAAAAGAACGTTAGGCAGTCTTCTCATGACCCCTCCTGAAAAACAATCAACAAAGGTCACATGACACCTAATTATCATGGCTGAAGGGAAAAAATCCTTTGAAGTCACGAAACAGAACATTAGCAGAGAACAGAACTGCTTATTTAATGTCCATGTTTCAGTCTGTCCTGTCCTGTGGCGACACCCAGGGTGTCTTCGGTTCCTCACAGATTATTTAGAGCAGATGGGCGATCTGGGACGGCTTCAGTCGGTTATCTGCAGAACTGTCCTGATTTCTGATGAACCGTTCCTTTTGTTCAGATGTTATTTTGAACTCACCCCGCTAAAGAAATGAGCTGCGATGTCCTAAGATTGTCAGATAAAGAACTTGTCATGGCATAAAAACACATTTCTAAGTATGTGGGCTTCCATCAGTAACTCTGGTCAGTCACTGCTGCACCTCGAGCCATGACTCCGTTAAACTGATCAAGTTTGCGGATGACACCACCCTCATCGGGCTCATCTCTGACGGTGATGAGTCCGCCTACAGGAGGGAGGTGGAACGGCTGGTGTACTGGTGCAGCAGCAACAACCTGGAGCTCAATGCTCAGAAGACAGTGGAGATGATTGTGGACTTCAGGAAAGTCACAGCCCCATCTCTCCCCCTCGTCCTGACGGACACCCCCGTCACCACTGTGGACTCCTTCCGCTTCCTCGGAACCACCATCACACATGACCTTAGGTGGGAGCCATCCATCAGCTCCCTGCTCAAAAAGGCCCAGCAGAAGATGTACTTTCTGCGGCAGTTGAAAAAGGCCAAGCTGCCGACCCAGATGATGGTGCAGTTTTACACGGCCATCATTGAGTCCATCCTCACCTCCTCCATCGCTGTGTGGTACGCTGGAGCCACAGTGAGGGACAAACATAGACTGCAGTGCATTGTGCGCTCTGCTGAGAAGGTGATTGGCTGCAGCCTTCCATCTCTCCAGGACCTGTACGTCTCCAGAACTCGGGGGCGTGCAGGTCGGATAGCAGCTGACCCTTCTCACCCGGGTCACAGACTTTTTGAGCCGCTTCCCTCAGGCAGGAGGTTACGGTCCATCCGGACCAGAACCTCTCGCCATAGGAACAGCTTCTTTCCATCTGCCGTTAGACTTGTGAATAGATTATAAACACACAACCATGCTGGTCTTCTGTACTCGACACAACGTCACGTTATCGGCCATGTTACCACTACCTGCCATTTTTTATAGCTAAGTTTTATGCTAGTTTATTATATTTTATTCTACTTTATTCTATTTTTAATTATATTATTCATGTTATATGTAGCACGTTAGTACCGAAGCAAGTTCCTAGTTTGTGAATTGTTTGTTCACTGACAATGGCAATAAACCTTTTCTGATTCTGATTCTGATTCTGACCTGCGTTTGTAGGACTGCCAGCCTGGAGGAGTTAAACACGGTCATGAGTCAGATCCTCAGCACCATGAAGGTCCACAACTTTCTGCCCGAGGTGCAGCTGGAGGCGCTGCAGGCCAGCCTGGTCTTCCTGTGTCCAGGTATGCTCGAGTCCACCTGTCCTTTTGTCCCGACAACAGTCCAGTCTTCACTCTGAGCTGTCAGTGAAAACTTTGTGTTTGCTTCCATTTTGGATTATTTTCTGTTCTAACCAGTGACTACGAAACCTATTTAGTGCAGCTGTTTTTCCTTTTAGATTTCAGTGGAAATGAGGTTGAAACACTTGTTTTTTCTCCCAGCAGCTTTGCACATGCTACAGTCCTAATTAGATTAGCGACTGACAGAGTCCTTCTGTCTGTGTGTTTTCTCCCATCTTTGTCTTTGTTTCTGTGCTTGGTGTTTGGGGATTCCCAGACAGGAGTTTGAGGGAGCACGGCGTCTCGGTCGCTGATCCCGACAGGGCCGACGTGGATCTGAGAGTCCTGAAAAACCAGTGTGTGGTGGAAAAGGCTCATACGCTCTATCTGGAGGTTCTCAACCGGGTATGAAGATCATCTGTCTGGGTTTTCTTTAATGTGTTTTATGTAACAAAAATATGAAAGTCTATTATTTGTACATACCGCACTAAATGCCTCTGTATAAGAACACAAAGAGGGTATAGTTACACCTTTAAAAAATATAAAGATTAAAGAGCAAGTCATCCCCAAATCAACTTTTTTCTGATAAACTATATAAATGAGTGTCTTAATTGTGCTATTGATGCATGTAGTCAATAATTTGGCACTTGAGTACATCTTAGTTGAAATAGAAATATTCTGCCTTAAAGTGTCAGTGCTTTTCCCTCTTCAGCTAAAAACTTTTTACTACATTTGAATTTAAATCTGCCATCGCTATTGTCTAAGACAGTGGTTCCTAATCTGGGGGTCCCGACCCCCACAAGGGGGCGCCAAAGCCTCTCAGTGGGTCGCCAGGACCTCTCCACTTTAAGGGGTTAAAACTTCATTTATTACTTGTTTATAGCCTACATTTTGCTCACATTTTTTTCATGAGTGAAAAGTTTACTGATATTAAGACAGGAAATAATTAGAACAGAAAAAGTAACACACTTTTAAGGACATTTTGCTCAGCTCACTGTTTTATTTTCAAGTGTCAAAAGTTCATTAAAGATAGGACTGGTTGATTAATCACAGCGTTTACAGTAAATAATCTAGTATAAACAGTAATATACACATTTAAGTACATTTTGCTCAGTGTATTTTTTATGTGTCAAACGTTTATTGAAAGGAATGATTGATTTATCAGTGTTTACAAGAAACAATGTGATCAGAAAAGTAATACAAACTGTCAAGCACATTATGCTCTGTTTGGTTTTGTTAATGACTTTGTTCTGTACTGGAGCCTACTATTACTGTTATCTATTGAATCAAAGCATATTAAAATGTGCTTGAACAATTTTATCATTTCTTAATAATGTTTGTACTGGAAGAGAGAATGGGAGGGGGTCGTCAAAAAATTTACTGGTAAAAAAAAAGGGGTCCCTTGGGAAAAAGGTTGGGAACCACTGGTCTAAGAGGTATCCTATGGCGTTAGCTGGTACCATATGATGTCACAGTGCCGCAGTGGGCCTGTGTGTGGGTTTTTGTTAGCGGCTCTGCCCTCTTGGCATGCAAGGCAATGCCTCCTTGTGGTGCATTTTTCAAACAGGAAGTGGGAGTAGAGACCCTGGTATCGAGTGACTTGCTCTTCAACTCATTCGCTGCCAGCGTTTCTCAGAGCGTTTTTACTGTTTTTTAAAGAGTCACGGAACGTTGCACGCTAGGACGATGTCGACGCCAAAACTACCAAAACAAAGAGTAGACTCACCTCTTACATCAGGAACAATCCGCGCATTTCTAGCGTTCTTTCATAATACCTTGTTGAATTGTGATCGGCAGAAGCTTTTCCAGTTCGCGCCTCACTTTTTTAACAGCAGTGGCCCAAAACGATCTCCTAACACATGGATTTTCTGCTTCCTGATCACGTGACGTGTGACGTATGCGGATGAAGATCGGCTTTAAGGTTGGTTTATGCTTGATGCGTCCGCGAGGTTCGCATGGCTCTGCGCAACAAAATTGCGTCATTTTAACAACCACGCCCCTCCACCGCGCCTCCGCACGGCCCAAAAGTTCCGCACCGCGCACCTAGGAAATTTTCTAACCACGCGGACGGTCGTACGCGGAAATACATGGCGGACTGGCAAGAACTAGTATGGCAGAGGTTCGTAAATACAGACATTTGTATGATTCAGCTCTCAGAGATCACCGTGATCAACATGTTGTTAATAATTCTTGGAGAGAAATAGCTCGCACTGTCGGAAAAGACGAATACAGCTGTTAAAAATGCTGGAATGCCATGTTGTAAACAACAGTAATTTCTACTTCTACTATGGTGTAGTGTTGGATGCATGCTGTAGAGCTCCATGCTGCCCCGTTCAGGTTCATCTGGAGAAGAAAAGGCAAGTTGGCTCATCGCAGAGACAAGCCGCATAAACCATAAACGCTGCGAGTTGTGAAGCGCGTTCCATCCGCGAGCCGCATCACCAAGCGCAAAGTGAATGCGTCAAGCATAAACCAAGCTTCAGAGCTGGGATGTTTGTTCTCACAGTGCGGGGGCTTGTTCCGACGCCCACACAGTAAAAACATGCCAATGACAGTGAGTAGTTGTATTTAAAATGACAACTTTAGTCGTCAATGGCAGTTAATGAGTTAAACAACTATCACATTTTTAAGGGAGGAATGTAATGCACCAGCTTTCATTTCAGACTCTTACACTCAATGAAAACAGTGTAAAAAATGTAATATTAGTCTGTCTTCATGTTCCATGAGTCGGGGTGTTGTGAGTGACTCCCAGCTACTGCCTTATCAATATTTCGCTCATTATCCATTTATTTGACATATTGTTAGCTGTGGTGGCCCTCATCGATTATAGTTTTATTTTTATTTTTTAATTAATTGAATTTAATATAGATGTTTATCGTTCTGAAAGTTAAGTTTAAACCCATCCAGTGGTGCATGAGGTTTTGTCAGAAACAAACAGAAACATTAATGCCCTCCTTTTATCTTTTTCTTCACTGACAAATAATGTAACATGCTGGTTTAATAAGAATAAAGCAGCTCTAAACGGCATTTTATGTGTAGCATGAACCAGAAGGACACGTCAGGTGTCAGGTAGGATCCCTACCAAAGCACTGTTGATAGGACGCAGGGCTGATGCGGACACTTGCCTTTTCTTCTCCAGATGATCCTTTTGCAACATATTCAGAAAGAGATGCAGGTTTCAAACATTGTCTCGCTCTTTTCTACATGAAGTGTTTGCTTGTGTTTGTAGTTTATCAGCTGTCCCAGCATCCAGCAGTGTGGACTGAGGGTTCTGTCTGCTCTGGCTGACTGCTCAGGTGCGGTGGACCTGTTGTGCCAGCAGGGCGCGATAGACACAGTGCTTCATACACTACAGATGTTCCCTAAGGAGAGAGGTAGGCAGCTGTATTCACCTGGCTAAAGGCTTAACAGGCACCACTTTAAAGGGTTTATGAAAGCTTTGTAATTAAGTCAGGTGGTGGCTTATTTATATATGATTGGATTAATAATTTTACCACAGAGAGAAATTGTTTGAAGTTGGTCTTTGACTAGACTTGCACTCATGTTCTGTGGTAGGGTGGTGTAGTTAGGAAATTTCCCCAGATTTGAAATCTTTCCTTTGTCCCCTCCATCAGAGATCTACTACTGGGGTATGACCCTGCTCAGCTACCTCGTCTCCAAGAAGAAGCTCTCCAGGATGATCATACCTGTCATGGCCTCCGTTGTCATTGCCTCTCTTCATCAGTACAGAGAAGACACTGAGATGCTGCTGAAGGTAAACCACGTCACAAAGTATGGCCTTCTAGTTAATGTATGGTACGGTGAGGAGCACCAGCCTCCAGCCACTAGGTGGCAGCATGATCAAAAGGCTTCATGTTTCTCTTATCAGAAGAAGCAGCCTACTGGTGCACAGAGCTGATGGAGCTAGTGATGGTATCTAGTGTTCTGACAATCTGTGCTACCTCATCAGACATTCCTATCATAGCGCGTCTTGACCTTTCTAAACCCACCTATCATCTACATAGAGCAGGTAGAATATGCAGACTGGAAAAAGGCCCACCATTAACTTAGCCAAAACCTCAAAATACAGACCCACGTACTGACAGTGAGACGTGGTTCTGAGGGTGAGACGTGGTTCTGAGGGTGAGACTTGGTTCTGAGGGTGAGACGTGGTTCTGAGGGTGAGACGCGGTTCTGAGGGTGAGACGTGGTTCTGAGGGTGAGACGTGGATCTGAGGGTGAGACGTGGTTCTCAAAGTCAAAGTCAGAGTCATTTATTGTCATTTCTACCACATGTGCAGGACATACGGAGAAACGAAATTGAGTTTCAGTACACACAATTCAAAGATCAGACATACGTGGGTAAGACACATGACAAGAATTGGTGACTGCGGTCATTCGCAACATGAGTCGCGCTACCTTAATAGATAGATGAAAAGGGTGTTACATGAGGATAAGTGGGGGTAGGTAAAAAAAAAAGGCATAGCAGAGTTAGCCCCAGCGGGGAGTAACTCTATTATACAAAAAAAACTCCTTTAAACATGGAAGCACAAACAGCACAGATAAAACATCAGAGTCCGATGGGGAGGCGGGGATGGGCGGGATCTTGAAGCCTCCAATGGGAGCTGCCACTGCGGCACATCGACCAGCTGCAGACCAACAGGTGGGAGGGAGAGATAAGGAACAGAGAGCACATTGAGTTTCCCGCAGACGTCTCAATCTGAAGGAAGAGGGTGAAGGACACAGCATCTGTCGGCATTCCTCCTTTCGTGGGGGTGTGTTGAGGCAGCCTTGAGAGGCTGCTATGGCGTCAGATAAGGATAAACATGACTTTGTTTGGGGCAAGCAGAGATAATTTTCCTCTCTGCCTTGGAGTCTCTAAGTGGTCATTCATGTCCACCAGTGAAGCCAATTATACGTTCTAAACATCCCCACATCGTCCGGCGACCCTCTCCAAGATGACATCCATCTTGCGCACTATCACAGGCAACACTGCGAGGGCATTATCCAGCTTACGGTTCACCTCGAGTAACGTCCCAGTCTGTGAGGTCACCGCCCGAGCGGCACATTCCGTGGGCACGGGTCCCACTCCAATCGCTCCCGTCTTCCCAAATTTCCAGAAAACCAGATATCCTCCCACTCCAATCAGAAGAAATCCAGTGATCATCAGGCCGAACATCCACAAATCTTCCACGTCCTCGATGGACAGCTGAGAGAGGCACACGATTCGCCAGACCTCCCAAGAATCGAGTGCATATCCCGAAGCGAATGTCCCCTCGGGACAGGTGGGAGCCCCCTTCTCCGTTCTCATCGTAGAAAAAATTTTGTCAATCGCGTTGAATGACCAGTTAATTAAGTCCATATTTCCAAAAAAGAGTAGTGGTTTCAGGAGAAATGCAGAGAAGTGCTCTGTAGGCAGACGGGACAAGAGCCTTGGGGAAGCCGATAAGGGAGCTGAGAAAAAAGCGTCTGTACTCTCTGAAGGCTGAGAAGAGTGTTTTCTGAGGGTGAGACGTGGTTCTGAAAGTGAGACGTGGTTCTGAAAGTTAGATGTGGTTCTGAGGGTGAGACGTGGTTCTGAGGGTGAGACATACAGAAAGCTGGTGTGTATCGGTAATAAAACTGGCTCAAGGTGTTTTTAACTGTATCTGATGATGTTTTGTGTCTCAGTGTTTTCAGGTGGCACTGAGGATGCTGGACGCCTGCTCGGGTGCTGCAGCTGAGTTGCAGAGAGAAGACTTTGACAGGCACATCTTCTACCACCTTAGAAAGGAGAACAACCAGAAGACGGGTCCCGTGAGTTCTACTGAAACACAATGGTTGAAGTTTAGCACCAACACCAATCATTGGGATTAACTGTAACCGCCTTCATGTCAAGAATGTTTCAGCCAGGTTCCAGAGTTAGCTCAGCTGTGATGAGCTTTTAAAAAACAGTATTTAATAGTTAAAGCTCAAATTTAATCACATCTTTGCTTTTTTACTGCAATTTATTAAAGACTCCAAACGTGTTAGCCGACTGTGAGAAAAGATACACAGAGACTCCCACTAAGTGTGTGTTTTATGTGGTTAGCTGTGGAAGTCGTCGTGCCTGGCCCTGTCTAAGATGTGGAGTGACTCGCAGCTACACTACCAAATGCTGGAAAAAGCCTGCATGGACGGAGACACGATGATGGCTGAGTGTCTGATTGAGTTGGGCGCCGACATCAACAGAAAGACCAAGAATGAGTCACTTATTTTTCAGGTTGGGAAATCCATCCGTCTTGGCTAACATTCCTAGTAAGAAATGGAATAATGTATCCGCTTCTGATAACCTTGTCAGGTGTGTGAGAGAGGAGGACCTCTGGAGCTGGTGGAGCTGCTGCTGAGCCAAGGAGCCCACGAGCAGCACCTCCGCAGGGCTCTGGCCGTGAGTGTGAAGCGGGGCGACGGGCCTACGGTCATCCAGCTGCTCAGCAGGCTGGGTTTGGACCTGAACAACAGCGCTCTGTGTCTGGGTGGCTTCAGGCTCGGTCGCCTGGATTCAGCTTGGCTGAGCCCCCTGCTGGCAGAACGAGGCAGATCCTACAGTCCACGCTACAACAACAGTCAGTCTGTCCTCTCTGTTCATTTATGACAGGAAATGGTTTGTTTTGAAGTCAAATAGAAGATGCTCCCTTTGACTCAGATGCGGAGTCATTGTCAAGTGCTTTATGAGTGAAAGAATAATGTATTTGTCCCTAATGTAAACACACACGCACGCACACACACATGTATTTATATATAAACCCCCTCTCACCCTCCGCGGGTGGTCTCATCCTTCCAGGCTCGGGTCCTCCACCAGAGGCCTGGGAGCTTGAGGGTCCTGCAGTATCTTAGCTGTTCCTAGATCTGATCTTTTCTGGACTGAGATGTCTGATGTTTTATCTGGGATCTGCTTTAGCCAGTCCTCTAGTCTGGGGGTTACTGCCCCGAGTGACCCGATGACCACGGGCACCGATGTCTTCACTCTTCAGGCTTTCTCAAGTTCTTCTTTGAGGCCCTGGTACTTCTCTAGTTTCTCCTGTTTCTTTTTCCTGATGTTACATCACTTGGTATTGCCACACCAACCACAACGGCTGTTATCTGTTGTTTGTCCACCACCACAATGTCCGGTTGGTCCACCATCACCATTTTGTCATTCTGGATCTGAAAGTCCCACAGGAGCTTGGCTCTCTTGTTCTCAACCACCTTAGGGGGTGTTACCCGCTTTGACCTTGGGGCTTCCAGTCCATACTGGAGAGAGTGCTCTGCGCTGTTCTTCAGACCAGCTCTTCCTAGCCATTTGTAGGATTTCTTGATATCAGCCACTTTAGTTATCTGTTGGTGGTACATCCCATGTAGGAGGTTGTCCTCCCATGATTGTATTTCCAGCGTCTCCTTCTCTGTTCGCCATTGTCTGAGACCTTCACTGAGCAGGTCATCTGTTGGGACCTTATCCTTGATGTACTTATGGATCTAGGATGTATCATCCTGGATAGTGGCTCTCACACTCACTAGTCATTGGCCTCCTTCTTTACATACCATACCATACCATACCATACCATACCATGCCATGCCATGCCATGCCATACCATACCATACATGCCATGCCATGCCATACCATACCATACCATACCATGCCATGCCATACCATACCATACCATGCCATGCCATACCATACCATACCATACCATACCATACCATACCATACCATGCCATGCCATACCATACCATACCATGCCATGCCATACCATACCATACCATACCATACCATACCATGCCATGCCATGCCATGCCATGCCATGCCATACCATACTATACCATACCATGCCATGCCATGCCATGCCATACCATACCATGCCATGCCATACCATACCATACCATACCATACCATACCATACCATGCCATGCCATACCATACCATACCATACCATACCATACCATGCCATGCCATACCATACCATACCATACCATACCATACCATACCATACATAAGTTATTTTTAAAGCACAAAGATAGCAACCAGAGTGCTGTACAAAAGAGCCAACGGCTCAGACACAAACAAAAGAAACATAGCGGAAAACTGTGAAATGAGCTAGAACGCATAAAAGGCAAAGCATAAATAATCAAGCATCAAATACATACTAAAAATAACAGTTAAAGAGAACAAGTAAAAACATTATCCAAAGTAATTAAGGAAACAAAAAAAGATTAAAAGCAGTTAAAATGACACAAATTAAAACCAAAAGGGCCAAAAAATGCTTCAAGGTGAAATTAAGTGAGCTTAATGACTCATTAAAAGGTAATTAAGTAAAGGAAAAACAGCACTAAGACAGACGGAAAAGAGGGACGTGGCTTCAGTAGAGTCCTGCAGTTTCTGTTTATGGTGTCATTGTGGGGCGGCAATGCCAAACAAGTGTGTTTTAAGAGCAGACTTGAACCTACTGACGGAAGAAGCCAAACACACATGTAGGGTAGAGAGGTCCAGAGTTTTGGGGCTGCATTTAAAGAAGGCACCCCCCGTGATTTGTAGCGTACCTTGGGAACAACCAGCAGCAGGTGATGGGCTGATGGAAGGGGGCATATGGGTACTTATGGAGACAGCAGGTCTGCCAGATAGGATGGGCAGTTCAAAGCCTTGTATACTTTAAAATGAATCCTAAATGTAACCAGAAGCCAGTGCGTGTCAGTTGGAGTGATGTGCATGTGTCTGTCGGTTTTAGTTGAGAAACTGGCTGCAGCATTTTGAACTTTCCCATTTTTTCACTTTTTTACAGCTAGTGTTGAAAGTCAAATCTGCAGAACAACATGCACAAGAGCAAAGATCTGACTCCACGACAGCAGTGAGGGGTTGAATGCTGCAAGCAGTTATGCCATTAAAAGCTGTTTAACCATTGTATGGCAGGCCATTTTTGTATTTTTTTGGTTATCTAATATCTCATTTGACTGCTGGTTTTGGAGTGGGTCACCTATATGTACAGGGAGTGCATAATTATTAGGCAACTTAACAAAAAACAAATATATACCCATTTCAATTATTTATTTTTACTAGTGAAACCAATATAACATCTCCACATTCACAAATATACATTTCTGACATTCAAAAACAATACAAAAACAAATCAGCGACCAATATAGCCACCTTTCTTTGCAAGGACACTCAAAAGCCTGCCATCCATGGATTCTGTCAGTGTTTTGACCTGTTCACCATCAACATTGCGTGCAGCAGCAACCACAGCCTCCCAGACACTGTTCAGTGAGGTGTACTGTTTTCCATTCTTGTAAATCTCACATTTGATGATGGACCACAGGTTCTCAATGGGGTTCAGATCAGGTGAACAAGGAGTTTTTCTTCTTTTATACCCTTTCTTGCCAGCCACGCTGTGGAGTACTTGGACGCGTGTGATGGAGCATTGACCTGCATGAAAATCATGTTTTTCTTGAAGGATGCAGACTTCTTCCTGTACCACTGCTTGAAGAAGGTGTCTTCCAGAAACTGGCAGTAGGACTGGGAGTTGAGCTTGACTCCATCCTCAACCCGAAGAGCCCCCACAAGCTCATCTTTGATGATACCAGCCCAAACCAGTACTCCACCTCCACCTTGCTGGCGTCTGAGTCGGACTGGAGCTCTCTGCCCTTTACCAATCCAGCCACGGGCCCATCCATCTGGCCCATCAAGACTCAATCTCATTTCATCAGTCCATAAAACCTTAGAAAAACCAGTCTTGAGATATTTCTTGGCCCAGTCTTGACGTTTCAGCTTGTGTGTCTTGTTCAGTGGTGGTCGTCTTTCAGCCTTACCTTGGCCATGTCTCTGAGTATTGCACACCTTGTGCTTTTGGGCACTCCAGTGATGTTGCAGCTCTGAAATTTGGCCAAACTGGTGGCAAGTGGCATCTTGGCAGCTGCACGCTTGACTTTTCTCAGTTCATGGGCAGTTATTTTGCACCTTGGTTTTTCCACACGCTTCTTGCGACCCTGTTGACTATTTTGAATGAAACGCTTGATTGTTCGATGATCACGCTTCAGAAGCTTTGCAATTTTAAGACTGCTGCATCCCTCTGCAAGATATCTCACTATTTTTGACCTTTCTGCGCCTGTCAAGGCCTTCTTTTGACCCATTTTGCCAAAGGAAAGGAAGTTGCCTAGTAATTATGCACACCTGATATAGGGTGTTGATGTCATTAGACCACACCCCTTCTCATTACAGAGATGCACATCACCTAATATGCTTAATTGGTAGTAGGCTTTTGAGCCTATACAGCTTGGAGTAAGACAACATGCATGAAGAGGATGATGTGGACAAAATACTCATTTGCCTAATAATTCTGCACTCCCTGTATGTGTCGATGGTCACTGCTGGTGGGTCTGCAATTTTTAGGCGAGAGTTTCTATCACAGTTTAGGCTCTTGTGTTGGCAGGCGGGGCTAAACGAACTGTCATGCGTGAATCCATAACAGGTTTTTTATTCAGTAGTTTTGTGGCTGCAATAAATGGTCTGCAGAGCTAAAGACTAAACTTACTACAGGCTCCACACGTGACTCGAGAGTGCGGTACTCTACTTTTGGGAGCTTTATTTTCTGTTTCTATATAAAAAGAACTGGTGTTTGGCTTCTGGTATTTGTTCCTGTTGACGCGTGTCAAGTCATTACTTTGGTCTGTGGCTTTTTATGAATACTCATCTGTACTGGAGTCGTAGTTGGAAAAGAGCATCCCTGATCTAAAACTGAATGATGCCAATAAAACTACAGATCATTAAATGTGTTTTCCTCCTGATGGAACCACCTGTCTCGTGTTCGGACCAGGTCTGGTTTGCAAACATTAGTTGCACAAGAATATTAGATTGCAATATTTCTAATTAGCATTTTTGATTGCAAATGTAAAGATAGACGGGCGACGGTGGCACATGACTTAAGTGCTCGCCCTGTAATCGGAAGGTTGCAGGTTCGAACCCCGCTCAGTCTGTCGCTGTCGTTGTGTCCTTGGGCAAGACACTTAACCCCCTTGCCTGCTGGTGGTGGTCGGAGGGACCGGTGGCGCCTCTGTCAGTGCGCCCCAGGGCAGCTGTGGCTACATCGTAGCTCATCTCCACCAGAGTGTGAATGTGTGTGTGAATGGGTGAATGACTGGTTGTGTTGTAAAGCACCTTGGGGGGTTCCAGGACTCTAGAAGGCGCTATATCAAATACAGGCCATTTACTTTGGTTGTGCACATTCTATTGTTAAGAACTGCACTCACAACGCTATCAGAGCTCATACAAAGGGTTCAGTTCCTGCCTGAGAGTGAAACAAGCTTCTGCCTGTTTGTCTTTAAGCTAAAGGCATCAGCTTGGCGAAGTACATCCAGTCTCTCCAGAGGTCAAAGAGCACCAGCTGCTTCTCCAGACCCACGTCTGATCAGAGTCTGACTTCTGATTACATTTCTGACGAGAGCGATGACTCCAGCTTCTACTCGATGGATGACAGCTTGTTCATCAACGACGATGTGGAGAGTGATGGTAAAGTCTGGGGGAGTCTGACGTCTCATAGTGGGAGCAGGGGTTAAAGGGAGCAGAAACGTAGGGGTCCGACTCACATATCTGCTGGTAATTCACAGTGGGACCCCAACAGAGACATTAAGTGTCTGTGTGTTAGAAGACTAATGGATGCTATCATGGATTCCCGATGTGCAGCTGTGCTGTTTCTGCTGACTTCTACGTATGCTGCTGTTGTTTATTGCATTCATAAACACTGCTGAGCATCATGCCCATTACAATCCATTTATTTTCAAAGACTCCCATTATCTGAATCCTTCTAAGTCTCCTGCACACCAAAGAAAACACAACAATGAGGTGTAAATATGAATCATTCCCCGAGTGAACCCGAGGCTCAAGAACCACTGAAACCAGTTTGAAATCGATGTTAAACACTCTCTTGGTGTTGCTTTAAGAGAGAAAGTGTTCTAGGAACAAATCCAGGGTAAAAGAAGCGTTTCACACAGATGTAGCATTGGCCCGCGGCAGTGGGATGTTTCAGCAGCCGTACAGAAACGTCTCTCTGTGTAGAAGGAGATTCTTCATCAGGATTTCTGTCTCCGAGGTTCTGTAACGGCTCAGCCGACGAGCCGAGGGGGGACTCCCTCAGAAGGAAGCAGGGGCATTGCAGCCATCGCAGCTCAGAGGTGAGCCTGACTCTTTTTCACTCATTCATGCTTTGGCCCGTGTCGGAGCATTTCACCTGTTTCTCTTCCTGAGTTCAGAACGGTCGTCCTGAAAGTGAAAACGGCGCGTCTTTTCAAAGAAGATATGGAAGGAGCGTCTCCAACCAAAAAGGTCATTCTAATTCATTTTATAAATTTACTAATCCAGACGAACTTTTCTAGTTGGCTCTCTGTGGAAAGAAGGGCATATCTATTCAAACAGTTGCTTTTTAAAAATGTAAACAAATTATTAGAAGTAGCTGCTTGACTCTTTTGTTAAATATAAAGTCCCCTAGTCATCATCACACACTGGTGAAATTACATCTCTGCATTGACCCAACCCCGTGGGGAGCGGTGAGCTGCAGCAGTGGCTGCGCTCGGGATCTAGTTAGAGCAGGGATTCCCAAAGTGTGGTGCGCGCACCCTGGGGGTGCACGAGCTGCCGCTAGGGGGTGCGCGAGCTGCCGCTAGGGGGTGCGTGAGCTGCCGCTAGAGGGTGTGCGAGGTGAAAAGTGTAATGGCTGCGGAGCTCAGAGAAGTCTGTCATATGTAACCTTAAGCGTAGCCAGAAACTCATTTGTGGGTGGGCCTAAGAAAAAGTAAGTGGGCCCAATAAATGTAATTGAAAACAAGTATATTTTGCGCGTGTGTGTGTGTGTCCTCCACATGTGCCCTAGCTTCATAATAACAATGCACCGAGCTTCAGCACTCTGGCCTGCGCACGCCGGCATGTTCCGTATTTGATCATTTTTAACGGTGTTGGAGAAATCTGAAGGTGAGTTATTCTGGCAGATTGTAATTAACACCTGTCTCATGCAGGTGTTCTGACATTGTAAACCTCACACACAGAACATTGTGGATGTAACTAAATAAATCAAGAAATAATTCCCATCTGAGCATTTTAGCATTATTATATTATTATATTAGCACCAGGCGCGTTGCAAGCTTTTCAAAAGTGTGGGAGATGTTGTCTGTGCCTAAAATAATTTCATGTTATTCATCTTGTTAGTTTAATTTCCATAATAGCGGAGCAGGTGCGAATTTTAGACGCGTCACGCATGTCTCCGTTTTAAACATGTTTAAACTGTTCAGAATACAAATCCAGGCTCTGTCTCGTTAGATTGGTGTAACTAAAGATTGTACTGAATGAAACTTTACATTAAACCATGGTGAAAAGAATAGGATCCGATTAAATCGTTTCCCCCTCATTTACAGTCACGGCGTACAGCTTATACGCATGGCTCTGGGGTTAATCAAGTTTAGTTGTTTCTCTTTGCAACAATCTTCACAAGAAGGCAAAACAGTTAAATGGCAGGTTACAGATATTTCCATTTGACTGTTTATTTTGACAGATAAACTCAAGGATGTTGGTTGTTTTGAAAGAATTACCCAGACGCACACTGATGCGCATGGATGAGCTGACATTTTAATCGTTACGCACATCGCTGAGGTAACTAAATTAGTCAAGAAATGATTCCCATCAGAACGTCAGAGCTTTATACTGGACACTGTGTTCAGCGCGGCTCGGAGCACCCACGGTGGACAGAGAGCTGAAGATCTGTAGAGGGGATCACAGCGCAGCGCAGAACCAAGGCGATGCGATAAGATTTCCTCCCACTGAAACGGTCTGGAAACCCGGTCTCTCTGAGGGATGTGTCACTTGGAAAAATGTTCGCTGATTATGAAACTTTGGCTGAACAGCGCTTGTTCCCGTCTCTAATATAGAGACGCATGACGCATCCAGTCTGAGGCAGAATAGCCTCTTCAGCTCAGAAAGCACCTGTAGAGACATTTGATCACGCACAAAGTTTATGTGGAGCAGAAGCGGTCGGGCCACGGCAGGTGAAACGTTCCTAGCCTACATGAAGTGAAACTGTTTAATTGTAACATTAATATGTTACTGGACACGCTGGTCTGGTTGGTTAGACCAGTGTTTGAGGTGGAAAACACACACACAGACACACACACACACACACACACACACACACACACACACACACACACACACACACACACACACACTGATTCAATTAGCGCACGCTGCGCAAACTCCGGCGCGCCGTCAGACTGAAGGCAGAAATGAGTGCTGCCTCCTCTGTGATAAAAACTTTTAAGAGGTTTTATAACAACATTTTTCATTCCAGGTCAAATTAAGATATTAGCTTCTATTTTGGGATGACGTATTAAAGTCGAGTCCGCTCCAGCCAGTGACTCCTCATGAACCTGACCACAACTCCTGTTACTGCAGCATTTGTTATTCCAGTCCGCGTGGCAGCGGATCGCAGATTCAGCCACACCATAAACACCAATAAGTCGGTCTGAGGCAAAAGTGAACCTCATGGCTATAGCTTTTCCATCTTTTCCTCTATAGACATTTGATTACGCACAAGTAGGTGACCAGTTCAGGTTTACGCAGAGCAGAAGGAAGGAGAAACGTTCCTACTTTTAAAAAAAACGTTAAATTGCATTGTTTATGTGCTACCTGGGCACTCTAAATGTTCATTTAAAATTAAATCAAAGGAAATTGTAATGGTATTGAATGTTTATCAACTACTATTTAAAAAATTAAAGTGATGGGGAAAAAGGTCGATCATATTTTTTAACCCTGTCTGTTTAGCTGTCTGTTTATAGCCATGCCCTGATGTGGGGGCTGGGGGGTGCATCGACATGGTCGGGACATAGAAGGGGATACGCGGCTAAATAAGTTTGGGAACTGCTGATTTAGAGGTTTAACCCCCCCCCCCCCCCCATCCAGCCCCTCAATGCTGAGTGCCAAGCATGGAGGAATTGGGACCCATTTTTTAAGTCTTTGGGACCCACAAACTCCCGGTCTCAGGGCGGACACTCATACCATTAGGAAACTGAGCAAGTTGTACTAATAATCTAATAATGATATAATAATAAAAGATGGCCTGTATTTGGTATAGCACCTTCTAGAGTCCTAGAACCCCCCAAGGTGTGTTACAACACAATCAGTCATTCACCCATTCACACACACATTCACACACTGGTGGTGATGAGCTACATTGTAGCCACAGCTGCCCTGGGACTCACTGACAGAGGTTCCTCCGACCACCCCCCAGCTGGCAAGGGGGGTTACGTGTCTTGCCCAAGGACACAATGACCGTGACAGACTGAGCGGGACTCAAACCTGCAACCTTCCGATTACGGGACGAGCTCTTCACTCCTGTGCCACTGTCGTCCTAATCTAGAACTAAAGAATTTAGGCAACATGTAATGATAAACTGTGAAATTAATTCTTGTCATTTTAAATGCAAGTCTGCTGTGCTTTTATTTTGATAGAGTTCACAGTAAAGTTTGGTTTTAAAATCCAGAGCGTCCATGTTAGGGGATGGTGCTGATCTTCAGAAGTGGTTTTCTGAGTTAACGCCTCACCTGTTATAGTTTTCTGTTTGAGTGACCTCAGCTTGGAGAGAAGAAGATGAGTTCTGATCAATAAGACACCCTCACAACTAGTTACAATGGTGTCACTTTCAAGGTGTCTTAAAACTAAAGTTATTAGCAGTTCCTGTACAAACCTTTCAAACCCTGTGATGACAGCGACGTTATTATGAAATATCAGTGAGAAATGCTACAGTGGCTAGCTCTGATGCTAATTTCTGCTGCAAACAGCCACAGAAACCAATGTAAGGAACCATGTAGTATGACATTTATTGTTATCAAATACCATATTGACTCGAATATAGGACGACCCAGATTACAAGACGACCCCCCTTTCCTAGACTAATCTGCAGGAAAAGACAAAAAAAATCACTTTTTCAATAAACTATTTTTATAGAAAACTTGAGAACAAATACTGACCAAAATTACTATTTTAATGCAAACTATCAGAACTTTGCTGACATGTGAAATCAAAAGTCAAATGAAGCTTTTATACACAGACGTCCTCTGCCTCGCTGTACTCACTCATGCTGCTGTGGTCCTGGTGTACCATCAGATCGCTACAACCGCCGACTCCTCACTGCCATCCCATGCGTCCATGCATGCAGTGTTTGACACCTCTGCTGAATTGACCATTGTCATCTTAAAATTTGCATCATAACTCTGCCTTATAGGTTAACTTGCCCAACTTTGCTCCGGACCTCTTGTCTCCATTTTTTCTCCTGTTGAGAACACACAGCTTGGCGCCCTCTTCTGTTACAGGCGTGTAATGACCCCAGACAAATATCAGCATGTGTGAATTAGAGGTGGGAAAAATGATCGATTCTAAGATGCATCGCGATTCAGCCGTGCATGATTCCGCATCGATGCAGCAACGTGACATAATGAGATTTTCTCCCTATGTCTATGTCGGGGGTCGGCAACCCACGGCTCTTCCATCCATCTGATGCGGCTCTCTGTGCTTGTAAAATAATGAATGGATATTTAAATAAAATGCTTTATATTTTACTGCATTAATTTTACATCTGTATGCCAATTCTAAATGTAAAGATTGTCTGCGTAAACCTGAACAGGTCCAACCCAGTCTTACTGTGAGACCGGGTTGACGCGTCACGCTTGTGTGTAATCATAGGCGCTTCCTGAGCTGAAGATGTGAGATTCTGGGCTTCTCGTCAGACGGCTCCTGGATGCGTCGCCACATTGGAGACAGGAACAAGCACTATTCAGCCAAAGTTTCCTAATCAGGGAACATTTTCTAAGTGACAAGTCTCTCTCCACATCTTCAGCTCGCTGTGTACCTTATGTAGAACACACTGACAGTGAGCTGCGCTGAGCGGTGTCCAGCTCAGATGTTCAGATGGGAATCTTTTCTTGAGTGATTTAGCTACATCTGCGATGTGCATAGAATAAAGTGTCAGTTCGTCTGCATGCGTCGGGGTAATTCTTTCTATTCTTTCTCCGTCAAAATAAACGGCCAAATACGGGAACTATCCGGTCAACACAAGCCCTGCTTTTAACTGTTCTGTTTTCTTGTGAAAATTGTTGCAAAGAGATATAATTTAACTTGATTAACACCAGAGCCAGGCGCACTGTGCCGTTGTCTCCGTCACTGTAAATGAGGGAAAAACAAAATGATCGGATCCTTTTCTGACCTCCCCACCTACAAAGTTTAATTACAACAATCAAACGTGACAGAATCTGGATTTGTATTCTGAACAGTCTAAACATGTTTTAAAAAGAAACGTATGACAAAAGTGGCACCTGCTCAGTAAAACCACCAACAGGGTGAAAAATATCAAAATATTGTAGCAGAGACGGGCTACAACTTCTGGATCCACTTTATATAAATCATTTTATTGATTATCTTCTTATGAAAGATAGCTTTGAGGTACACGAGCGACCGGTACCGGCTGCTGTCACCTGTTGTGAGCAGCTCTCTGCTGTCTGAGGGTAGGCCCCGCCCACAACGCCGCGGCTGCTGCGGTGTTTTCTTTACTGTGGGAAACGGGTAATAATGGCTCTTTGATGGTAACAGGTTGCCGACCCCTGGTCTATGTCTATGCGAGGACAATAAAGTTTTGAGGTTTTACAATTACTTCTGGGGGCAGAGTTGCAATGACATGCGCACTGCGTTGTCCTAGCGCCAATTTAAAACAGAAAAGGCGGACAGGGATACAGGGCCAACATTACCAGTAATCAAAGATGTACCTGTTACATTTAAATCAGATGTCTGGGCTAATTTCTGTTTTGGGATCCTGGATGTGAAAGAATCACTTAACACAGTATTTGTTTACTATTTTTAAGTTCAGTAATATTCTATCTTAAAGCTGCTCTACCGAAAACATTATTTCTTGAATTATTTAAGTATTTATAGGCAGCACACTTTAAACATTATTGCTCACTATAGTGAATAGATGAATGTTCTGTTTTTCAGGGATTTCGAAATCAAAAAGAAATTGAAAACTAGTCTACTGCTTTTATTAAGTAATGAAAATTTTTGTGTGAAGAATCGTGATGCATTTCAGACTCAAATCCAATCTTTAGGCAGTTAATCGGAATCGGATCGAATCGTGAGGCAGATAGAGATGCACACCACGAGTGTGAATGCTTAGACCTCGGTTATAAGACGACCCCAACATCATATTCAATGAAAAAAATCTCGTCCTATATTCAGGTCAATACGGTAAGTTGTTTGGGCCTGCAGAAACACCTTACTAGCCCCACTCAGAATAGCCGTTAGCTTATCAGTCCAGTCAGAACTGAGCTCTGTTTCTCCAAGCTGAGGTTGTTCATAACCTATTACAGCAGGTATGATAATAGTCACCTTTCCACAGAAACTCGTTCCAAAGATCAGAACTTTAACTTGGTATTGTGGTTCTGGTTCCTCAGGACTGGGGTCTGGTGAAAGGGAACAGATCCGTCTGCTGGACCTGTCGGGGAATGAACTGGACACCCTGTCCTGTTTGCTGGATAATGCTTTGGTCCAGCAGCAGCTGTGGCATATTGTCCGTTTGGACCTGAGCCACAACATTTTGCTGGAGTTTCCTTCTTCTCTCTGCCAGGTAGAACATCTGATCCCAGCAGAGGCACCATGATGGGTGGAACGATTGAAACCTTTTCTGTTTTTGTTTTGTTAGAGTTTACAGAGTCTGACGCTACTGGACCTGCAGGGAAACCAGCTGCAGTCTCTGCCAGAAGAGCTGCTTTCTCTGCCCTCCCTCAGCATGCTGAACGTTTCTCATAACCAGCTTGGTCCAGTGTTGACCTTTGACCCCACTGTCACTTGCTCTTCACTGAAGCAGCTCAACCTTTCGTTCAATAAAATCAGCACATTTCCTCACAAGCTGGGACGCACCATGGAACAACTGGAGGAGTTGATTATGGAAGGGTAACCAGTTTAAAAACGCCTGTACTTCTAGATATTTAAGCAATTATTATTATTATTATTATTATTATCCAGTTATTTATTTTGTGAAAATGCTAAAATCATAACTCATATCGTATGAGTAAATGTTCTACTTCTCCCTCCTACTGGTTGACCGCGGTATTACAACTGTCCTGAACAACCCTGCCGCAGCCTGCAGTAGCTAGTTCTAACAACCAGCTAACACTAACACAAGCCAACAGATACTAAAGAAGCCATTAATTAAAACAGTGCAACAAAGCCAGACCACTATCAGTCTGTAATTTTTGTAGCTTCTTTCAGCTCCCTAGGCTGCACTGGTGTTGACTCTGGTTTTAGCTCTTTGCTTTACCTCCAAACACATTTACTATCTTACTTTATCTTCCAGGCTCCCATCTGATGCCAGCAAAAAAGCAAATTTGACAAATCTATGGTTCAGTTTTGAGATATTTTAGTTTTATTTGGTACAAATTTTGAATAATTGGACTTAGCCCTGTGCAGTGAGGATCTGCTGTTCTTAGAGCACATAGCTGTGTGTACCTAGCCAGCAAACAACCAACTAAAACAAACACAAGAATCTTCACCCAAGGCTTGCTTTTCCTAAATAAACATCTTTATAAATGTTCATCACCGTAACTACAATAGACAGAAACAGAAAAAATACATTACTGACCATTACATTTGTCCTCACGCTTAGCAAATATAGCCTTGCTTAGCAATTAGCCCAGCTTAGAATGTGTACGCTCACGTTGAGGCCAGAAGGAAATATGGCGTCCCCAAAAGATGCTAGACCTGCGCTCTTTGTACTTTAGATCCAATTTTTGTGGTTATGTGGTACAAAGCTGCCAATATTTTTGAACAACTGGACATCATTGTATTCATTTTCAAATTTTTGATGGATATTTCTAGAGATTAATAGTTAAAACTACACATTATCTCTTAAACCCTCCCACTGTCCTAATGGGTGTGACCCTGCGAGGAAAGTTGACCATTGAGCAGGGGTGAGGTGGTGCTCACTCCTCATGACCCTCATAGACCCAAGGGATAAACCATCAACCCTGCTCAATGGTCAACTTTTCTCGCGGGGTCACACCCATCGGGACAGTGGGAGGGTTAAAGAGGTAAAACTGTTTAGTGTTGCTTTAAAAGATGACAGGCTTTTATCTCCTCGACTTCCACATCTGATCCTGCCTTTGCACCATGGATGTGTGTATACAATTATTTTACCATTTAATCTTTTGCAGTAACAGTATAGCTGAGCTGTGCACACCTCTGTCTCTGCCTGAGATCAAGCTGCTAGATGTGAGCAGGAACAACATGGAGAAGATCTCACCTCATGTCCTGACCAGTTGCCCCAAACTGGAAACACTGATTGCCTCTCTGAACAAGATCTGTGAGTACTACTGAGGGCTGAGAATGAAACTGATTTCTTTATACCAATATGATGGTAGGGTATGGGGTAGGACATTGGTGGATAACCAGGTAGAGAGGGCTGGACTGATTGACCTGCAGCTGAACATCTCAAACATCAGAGAGATGGTTTCAGGGAGAGAAAGACAGTTCCACAACCACCGAGGATTCTGGTAAAGGATGTGGCAGTAGTTGAGGACTAGATGTTCCAGGGTGCTACCACGAACAGCAGGATTGACACACTTGAGCTGAAGATGAAGGAGATACAAGAAGGAGATGAGCCAATCCCACATCTCGAGGAATCTTTGGATTCTTCAATGTGTGCTGCAGGTTGAGGGAGCTATTACCAACCTGTTGTAGCCGGCGCTCCGCCCTTTTTGTGGGTTTGTTGGGGGAGCAGTAGGTCATCCTAGCGTCGGAGTGGGGGACCCACGGCATTCGCGATCTTTACTCCAGAAAATAATGTGATATGATCTGTCTGTCACACACAAGAAGAACACCGCCCAACAATGGTGGGCTGTTCAGACTCTCGCGCTTTGTCACACTGAACGTGGCAACGGCTTCAGGCAGCGAGGCAGCAAGCACTTATCTTCCATCCATCCATCCATCCATCCATCCATCCATCATCTATTTGTCTATCCAACCGTACATCCATCCGTCCGTCTATCCACCCCTCTGTCCATTTATCCATGCAGCCATGTATTTCTCATTTGAAGGACTATCTTTGTAATCTTGAGTTAATTGGTTTTCTCTGAGTTTCTGTTGTTAGTGACTTGAGGACTTGTCCTCTGTCTCCTTCAGGTTCCGTCTCACAGCTGCCAGTCCGGATTACAACTCTGAAACTATCCAACAACAGCTTCACTCACATCCCTGAGGCTATTCTCAATCTTCCAAAGTATGTCCTCAAGAGGGAAATTCTTTATATATTTTTTATACTTAATTTGTTAAAAAAAATTTTAAGTACACTCAAACAGAATAACACCTGAACAGTAACACCAGTGGCAGCTGTTCAATTTTTTGGCTTATGCTCCGTTGGTCCATCAAAGAGATCTACACAGATCCCTCTTCCAGCTCCTTAAACGCTGTCCATTTCCTCCATTTTTGGTGAAAGGTATGCATTTTTAGTCTCAGATGGTGAGTTAGTCTTTCCATGCTGTAGATTTCGTCCATGATACTCAACCAATGCCCAAGTAAGGGGGGGTCGCTTTGCATCCAGTTCCTTGTGATGGCCTTCTTGCATGCGATTGTCATGACCTTATATAAGTAAACGTCTCTGTTTTGAATAACCCTCTTCGGCATGGCTCCCAAATACATGTTTTTTGGATCTCTAGGGACAGAATAATGTAATATTTTCCTTAATGTCTCACTGACATCTTCCCAAAATGGTTGTATCTTAACACATGGCCAAAAAACATGGGTATGAGTGGCATTTTCATGGCCGCACAGCCTCCAAAAGTATTTTTTTTGTTTCCTGGTATTCACCAATAATTTGTGGAGTCAAAAAAAAAACGAGCTAGATTCTTCCAACCAAACAGGAGCCAGCTTTGTGAATTAGTAGAGGTTTACTGTGTTTTACACATGGAGAGCCACTCATCCTCCGATATTGTTATATTCATTTCCATTTCCTATTTTGATTTAATATAGCAAAAACTTTGCCCATTGCATTTCTGTAAACCTTTCTATAGTTTTGTGACAATTTTTGAGGAGGTCTGTTTGTATGCTCCCATCATGACTGTTACAACCTCCTTTATCTCTGCCGGTAAATCGTTTTTAATTTCTTTATGAAACCAATCTCTCAATTGAAAATATCGGAATAAATCTTTGTTTTCTAGTTTGAATTCTTTTTTTAATGGTTTCAAATCCTTTAAAAGAATGGCCTTGGACGAGCTTACAGATGGCAGTCATTCCCCTCCCATTCCACCTTGTTTCTTCTAGGGCTGCCGGCTGAAAACTAGGGCAATGAGGAGGCAGTGTCAGAAGTTTGATGTCCTTATCAAGCTTATATTTCTGTATGATATCTCGCCATATTTTCAGGGTTTCTTCTACAATGCAATTCTTACACCTTTGGTCCATGTTTTCCTCAATAGCCAATTTTCTCTGTGGTTTATATTTCCCTACCTTTTCTTCAATTCGTTTCCAACTCACCTGATAATCCGTAGGCTGCATATCTTAGTTGTGACGCATAAAAATATTCTTATAAATTGGGTACGGCTAATCCTCTATTCTCTTTAGACACTTGAAGGGCTTTTAATTTAATCTGTGGTCTTGCGCCCGCCCAAATGAATCTGGAGATCTGTTTATCCCATGCATTGAATTGAGATTCTGGGATTGAGCCAGGTATTGAGAGGATAACATGCAGGAATCTGGGTAGCAGATTCATTTTCACTACTTCCATCCTAGATCTGAAATCTAAAATAAGTTTTGACCATTTATCCAAGTCCCTTTTAATCTTATTATTTATCAAATTATAGTTCATCTCTTTTGTTTTGCTGAGGTTGTGGGCGATCGACACTCCCAGATACTTTATAGATTTGGAGTCCCAGTTAATTTGGTATTTGTGTCTACAGTGGTATTTGGGATGTAGTTAACTGTGTGTCTTTGTGACATTAATTTTGTAACCTGATACATTGCCATAGGTTTCCAAATGAGTAATAAGTTTGCAAAAAGTTAATTCTGGGTTTTGTAATTATATAATAATATCGCCAGCAAAAAGTCCAATTAAATGTACCTCATTAGCTAAATGAACCCCTTTTAACTCCCGGCATTGTCTAATGTTTTGAGCTAGGGGTTCGATATAACTAGCAAATAAAGAGAGACAGAGACAGCATCCCTGTTGGGTGCCTCTGAATATCTGAAATCTGTCCGACAAGAGTCCACTGATCTTCACTCGACCCGTTGGAATTCTCTATATAGTGCCTTTATGCATTTTAATATTTTAGTACAAAAGCCAAATCTTTTAAGTACTTCCAACTGTCGAACGCTTTTTCAGCGTCAAAACTAATTAGTGCTAGTGATATATTTTGATTATGATATTGTTCCACTATATTTAAAGTTCGCCTAATGCTAATTTGCGTTTGTCTCCCCTTTATAAATCCAGTTTGGTTATCGTGAATCGATGTGGGTAAATATTGCTCTAAACGTTTGGATAGGATGGATGTAAACAGTTTGTAATCCACGTTTAGTACAGAGATTGGACGATGAGAATCACAATGTTCCTTGTTTTTCCCTCCTTTGGCAACACCGATATCAGTGCCTCTTTCCAAGATGGTGGTATTATTGCAATTCAAAGTCCAATTAAAAGAGTCCAACATTATAAGGGTTAAAGTTGTCTTAAATGTTTTATACCACTGACTAGGAAAGCCGTCATTTCCTGGGAATTTGTTTGATGTCAACCTGTTTATAGCGTTTTCTAGTTCCTCCATTGTGATTGGTTTACTTAAGGCATCGTTTTGTTCCTTTTGCAGTGAGGGTAAGTTTAAATCTTTGAAGTACTCTATAATCAGACTTTCATTACTTTCCTGTGGTTGGGAGTAGAGTTTTGAATAATAGCCTTTAAAACTTTTTGATATTTCTTCCGGTTCAAATAGCAGTTTATTGTTCATTAGATTTCTTACCTTGTGTGTTGAATTTCGCGTTTGCTGGGTTCTCAAACGTTTTGCCAACATTTTAGTTGCTTTACATCCTGATTCGTAGAATGTTTGTTTAGTAAATCTTAATTTTTTTCTCTATTTCTCCTTGTAATATTTCGTCAACTGGTTTCTTGACGTCTTTTATCTGATTTAGGTGGTTTTCGTCTGTTTTCTTTGGCTGTGTTCTTTCTAAATTCCTTAATAATTAGATGGATTCCTCATATTTTTGTTTATCGTATTTAGGTAGGCTGTTCTTGCTATAAGCTTCCCTCTCATTACTGCTTTTATTGTATCCCATATTATAGTTGGCTCAACCTCGACAGTGTTGTTTTCTCTCATACACTCTTCAGTCTGATATTTATCATTAAGTATACTTACATTTAGTCTCCAAGTAGTGTTTCCTACCCCCGTTCTCAAGTGAAGGATAAGACTTATAATATTATGGTCTGAAACATCCGATGTCCCAATTTCACACTTAATCACTCCGTGTCTATTGAGAGAGTTCATGAGGAAGCAGTCTAATCTCGCGTAAACCTGATGTACAGCTGAGTAATGTGTGGGACCTTTTTCAAGTTTGTGCATGTCTCTCCACACATCGATCAGCTCTGACTCTTTTAGGAATGACTTGAGTGTTCTTGATCTTTGCCTTTGGTACCCTTTCAAGATTGTTGTATCTATTGATTTGTTTAGTATTGTATTCCAATCTCCCCCGCGTACTAAAATTCCCTCACTTTCTGAGATTGCTGCATCTACTAATAAACGGACACATTTTGCATCACACTCGGGAGGGACATGAACGTCTGCAAAAGTTATTAGGATGTTATCAGTAAGAGGGAAATTCTTTCAATGAACTTTTCAGTAAACGTTTCGTTAGGCCTCCGTCTCTGTCTGTCTGTTCAGTTTGCGATCAGTGGACATGAGAACCAACAACATCACGGTTCTCCCGGGTCCGGGCTTCTGGGCATCCAGTAACATCAGGGAGCTGATTTTCAGTCAGAACAGCATCAAAGTTCTGGATGTGAGTGGACCAGTCTGCAGGTGGACCAGACTGGAGAAACTGCACCTGAGTGACAACAGGTTGACTGAGGTAAAGAACCCTACACAGGATTTAATGTGAATGTTTCATAACAGAGGACAGATTGTTGTGATGTTTGGATCCAGATCCCTCCACAGATCGGCCTGTTGGAGGGTTTGACGTCCCTAGATGTCAGCCAGAACTCCAATCTGCGATCCTTCCCAGATGAAATGGGAAAACTAAGCAAGCTGTGGGATCTGCCGCTGGATGGCCTTCGACTGGAGCTGGACCTGAAACTCATTGGAAACAAGACTAAAGACATAGTCAGGTCAGAGGAGGAGCTGTGCTGTTGATATTATTTACAGAAGAAGACAGATTCATCTGATCTTCAGGGACATAAACAGAACACAAATATTTATCTGCTGTGTCTGATCTAACCTCTCAGGTTCTTGCAGCAGCGGCTGAAGAAGTCAGTGCCGTATTATCGCATCAAGCTCATCGTGGTGGGCAACTCGGGCAGTGGGAAGACCACACTGATCAGGCAGCTGATGAAGCTCAAGCGCTCGCAGCCAAACTCAAAGCAGAGTTCTGTTGGTGTTGAAGTCTCTGACTGGACCATCAGAGAATGGGACAAGAAGAAAATGGTCCTGAATGTCTGGGACTTCTCAGGTCAGCCTGCATGTGAAATCTGACTCCACTAGACTAGAGGTCATCAAAGAGATCAGGGGCCTCATTTATAAACTCATTCTTCCAACTATCATTTCTATTAATGTCCTTAACCTGCAGGTGGAGAGGACTTCAGTGGCTCTCACCCCCACTTTCTGACATCCAGAGCTCTCTACCTGGTTGTTTACAACCTGAGCAAAGGAGCCAGTCAGGTGGATGCTCTCAAACCCTGGCTCTTCAACATTAAAGTGAGCCACAGACCAAAGCTGAGCTTGTTTCTCTGTGCTGCTGACAGAGATCAGAGGTACCACTTCCTGATTTAAACTACATTGATGAGAATGGTTTTCCTGCATCTTTACTTCAGGCTGTGGCTCCGCTGTCCCCAGTCATCCTCGTGGGGACACACACAGATGTGAGTGAGGAAGCGCAGCTCCAGGCTTGTCTCGGTAAGTTTCGACAGGAGCTGCTGAACTATCAGGGCTTCCCGGCCATCAGAGACCATCACATAGTCTCTGCCTGCGAGGACTCGGATTCCATCGTCAAACTCCGTAAGACTATCATCCGGGAGGTCACCAGCTTCAAGGTAAAAAGGAAGCAGATAAATGTATTTCTTGTTTTATCGTCTAATCTCAAGTCATCTGCTCTTTATTTGCCAGATCCAAGGCCAGGAAGTTATAGGTCAGCTGGTGCCAGACAGCTATGTGGAGCTGGAGCGCAGGATTCTGCAGGAGAGGACCAAGGTCCCCCCAGAGTTCCCCGTTCTCAGGCACAGCGAGCTTCTGCAGCTCATCCACAAGAGTCAGCTGCAGCTGGAGGAAGCCGAACTGCCTCAAGCTATCCACTTCCTCAGCGAAGTTGGTCAGTTAGGAGCACAGCTGTGTATAAAAATGCCAAATCTACGATAAAATCTCATATTCATCAGATCAAATTAGAATTGTTTGTTTATATGAAGAAACTTGGTATAAAACCCTTGGTGAATTGTTTCCTTATTGTAAAACTCCGTGTTGATTTTTCCCCTTTACTCCAGCCTGTCAGAATGGAGCGTTCTTGGAATGAGGAACACAAAATGAAAGATTTTATCTAGAACCTCACCTGCTGATTAGTTACAGATTGTTGTGAATAAACTGATCAAGTCTTTGATTTGTTTTTGCTGTTGTAGGGATTCTGTTGCACTTTGATGACCCTGCGCTTCAGCTGCAGGAATTCTACTTTCTCATCCCACAGTGGCTCTGCAACGTCTTGTCTGAGGTAAGTCCATTACCCTGACCCTAGCCAAGCTGTTTCGTTTTTTGAAATAAAAAGTAGCTGAGTACGTTAACAATCATCACAACATTTACACGTTTCATTCTGGTTCTGGGCTACCAGTGACCTGCTGATGGCAGCTGAGTTTTCATTAGCATCACGCTCTTTCCCTTCAGTCTGATGCTTTTGACACCAGGGTCTTTTATCAGCATGCATGCTCGTCTGAACTTGTGCACTCACGTCCTTGTGAAACCTCATCAACTTTGGCTTAAGTACTGTTCCAAACCTGAGTATGCATCATGGCAAGTACTCTTAAAATACCAGGAAGGGAAAAAAAGAAAGAAAAAAAGGAAAATAAAGAAAAAAAGGAGAAAAATACCAGGATGTGTTTTTGCTCTGCTCGTTGTATAGAGGACGCATCAACGCAGCCTTCTGTGGACTTGGGCCAGCAAGCTATCCCATAATGCATTGCATCGCAAATGGTTCTACCTCCAATGGAAAGTTGTGGAAGACAAAGCTCCTAACTAGTGTTTCATTATCAAAAATACAAATAAGTCTAAATAAATAAATATAAAATTGTCTGTTATTGTAGATAATTGTGTGTAGACTGGGAAATGGTTGTGTTTGTTTTTCTCTTTTTCTGACTCTTCACTAAACCACGACAGGTAATTAGCTAACCCACTATCAGAATAAAACCAGTGTTTGCATATCTGTTTTGATAAAAAACGAACTTATTTTTCTTCATGTAACAGCGTGAAATGCTGGTATTTTACCAGTTTTGAAGAAAGATAAATGAAAGACACACTGTAGCATTAAAAATTTGACCAAATATTCTACAAACAAAAGGTTTTCCTTGTTATTTTGATATTTAAGGGACAAACCAGAATTTTACTGTTCTTTCAGGTCCTTTTTGTAACCGTAGTATAAAAGCTTTTTGCCAAGATGTAATGGAGTATGGTTGTTCCATATGCAGTCTTCGTCCTCCAGTACTCCATAGAACAGACTTTCTGCTGTCCCAGCCAAGAACATAGTCTCATTGAGAAATGGTCCCTCTTTATAACCCACCTCTTGATTGTCTAGTTTGTCATGGCAATGCTGGACTACCAGCCAGCTTTAGCTACAATTATACCTCTAAAACCACACACTAGACTTTAGTCTCCAATCCCATCCATGCTAGGTTATTATTGGTGTTCCACAGGGTCAAGTCCTTGAGTCCCTCTTTTTTTGTAATTAACCTCCATTTAAATGTGTCTAGGAAACCATGTTTAACTATTATCAAATGAAACCCAACCAGACTTGTCTGCCAAACTCTCACCTATACTGTTTTAGTGAAATGGTTAGTTTATAATATCCTCCAACTTATGGGTGAAAAACCGGAGTTTGTCTAGTGTCTGTTAGCAGCAACTTGGTCCTGCTGGCGTGTTACAGTAATTTTATCATATTTTATTCCACTGTAGGTAAAGAGTCTGATGTAATTCTTGATAGAACTCCTTAATTCAAAAATAGCTTTAGTCTTCTTGGTTTCCTTTATGGACCGACTCTGTACACCTTTACCAACCAGCAGCTCAGCTGTGAAATCCACACATCTGGTGTTGGTTATTTAAACTTCCTTAGCTAACATTTTTAGATATAACTATCTAAGTTGTCCTCAAATGCCCTGAAAAACTCTCATGTAAGTAGTTCTGTCTTCTTTACAGAGAGGGATGCTAAAGAGCTGTAGTCTCTGGGAGCAACCCAAAGGAGTTATTCAGCGATCCGTGGTGGAAAGGTTTCTGTTTGAGACCAAATGTTTCCCAAAGAGCCACCTGGTCCAGTTCTTTAAACTCCTGGAGAAGTTTCTGATTGCTCTTCCCTTTGGGGACGGCCAGCTTCTTGTTCCTAGCAGGTAAGTTTCACTTTTTTGGAACTTGCCCCGATTAAAGAGTCTTGAGTTTTATAGCATCTCACCCTGCTGTCTGCAGCTTGTCCAAACACAGGCCGGTGATCGAGCTGCCTCACTGTGAGAACTCTGAGGTGATTGTGCGTCTGTATGAGCTGCCCTACTTCCCCATGGATTTCTGGTCCAGGCAGATCAGCCGCCTGCTGGAAGTCTCATCCTATTTGCTCGGTGGAAGAGGTAAAATGAGCAACTTCTGTTTCATTGTAAAGAATTTCATCATTTCTTAAGCAAACAGCAATATAGTAGAACTCTGTCACCTTACTTTCATAGAGAAAGTTCTCCGACCAAACCGAATCTACTGGAGGAGAGGGCTTTACTTAAACTGGTCCCCTGAGGCCTACTGTCTGGTGGAGGCTGCCTCGGAGGAGCAAAGTCCCTCCAGCTTTGTCAGGATAACGGTTCCCTCATCTCGAAAAGGTGAATAAAATAAAAACCTACAAAGATGACGTTTGGAGATCATTAAGACATGCTGCTGTTATTATGTCTCACATGGACCCTTGTGTCATTGATGATACTGGTTTCTGTGTTAACACCAGGTAAGGTGTTACTGGGCCAGTTGGTGGACCACATCGACTCGGTTCTGGAGGAATGGTTTCCTAGTCTGTTCAACACCGACATGCACGGCAACGGAGAGGCTCTGCTGAAGAAGTGGGCTCTGTACAGCTTTGAGGATGGGCAACAGTGGAGCAAGATTCTGCTGGAAGATCTTTTTAAATATTTTGAAAACGGTTTGTCTTAAACTTTAATTTTAATCACCTTAAATGCATGTTTCCATTTCTGTTGTTGTGTTTCAATCAGTAATGACCTTTTCATTCCCAGACTTTTTGCTGGTGAACCCCGAGGACCCGCGCTGCACCATCCCCATCTCTCAGATCGCCCCAGACTTGGTTTTGAGTGACCAGCCTGCAGCAACAATACTGGACAGCGAGGAGTTGGAAGTAGACATGTCCAAAGAGAACCGACTAGGTACACATCGTCTTTATTTTAAATAAAATCACTCGGTAGAAATAACCGGTGTCTCTTTTACTTAAGGCAGAAATTCTAAGTTTTCCCCTTTCAGTAATTATATCTGTTTAGAAATAGTGACATCCTTACCCTGTACTGGATTTAACACAGGCAGTATGTGTACTGTTTCTACTAAGCCCGCCCCTTGTCCCATAGCACCTCATGCATTTTGAATTGAGCTCCATTCAACGTTAGCCAATAGCGTTAGACATCTGCTCACTTACAGACGTCTATCACAGAGTGTTGAGGACGTTCCTGGACTGAGACAGTTGGAGACATTTCTAATGGACCAGTAAGTCTTAAACAAACAGCACAAGATGAAAATATAACAGTGAAACGGTGTTTTGGCTCCGCTGCCTGGCTAGAGGTGCATGTTCATGAGAGAGGTTGCTGTAATCACAGAAGTAGGGCTTGAGGTGCGATACACTTTCCTGCCTCTAGATGGTGGCCTCTCACAAAAACTCTGGACTCCTATTTTTAATCTTCTGGAATAATTTTCTGTAGTTCTTTAATCATTTTAAATGTATAAAGTGTTTCTGTTTTGACAGGAGACGGCGGTTTTGGGACAGTTTATCGAGGAGTCTATAAAAATGAAGAAGTCGCTGTGAAGCTTTTCAACAAACACGCTTCTGAGCTTTATGTCTACAGGCTCCTTAGACAGGTACGTCTAACCTGGTTATTGTGAGTTTTAAACTCTTTTATGAGCTCATCTTCATATCAGTCACATAGCACATCCGTTCTTTAAAAAGCTGGATTGCGTCTTTGTATCGGCTAATTTTTCTACTCTTCTGCTCCCGGATCTAGTATGGCAGCATCTTCAGGACAGAGTTCTTCAGGCTTGAGATCATTTTTTAGCTCGTTTTTCTTTCTTTCAGGAGTTAGCCGTTCTGGGTCGCCTCCAGCACCCCAGCCTGGTGGGCCTGCTGGCAGCCGGCTCGGTTCCACAGGTTCTGGTGATGGAGCTGGCTCTCAGAGGCTCTCTGGATTCCCTCTTTCAACACAAGAACAGAAGTCTTAACCGAAAGCTCCAGCACAGGATCGCCCTGCAGGTGGCAGATGGACTCAGGTAGGACTTGCTGGCACATTTGCAGCAAACTGAATAAATTATACATTGGTGTGTCCGGTGTGTGTGCTGCTAAAACTGATCCAATCAAAGCTGAAGTCTGAAAAATGATCTACACGCCAGAGTTCTTGTGACACACTAAAGCAATGTTTCATGTGATATGTGAGAAATCACATCCGCTCCTTTTGAGTTGAATCTGTGTGATCAGATACCTTCACTCAGCCATGATCATCTATCGGGACCTGAAGCCCCACAACGTCCTCCTGTTCAACCTGAAAAACGACTCTGAGATTGTCGTCAAAATCACAGACTACGGGATCGCTCAGTACTGCTGCAGCATGGGAGTGAGGAGCTCAGAGGGCACGCCAGGTCAGCGGATCTAGAACCCGACCTTTACGGTAGGTCGTCAGTCAGCCATCTTTAATTAGTCTGCGTCCGACAGGTTTCAGAGCCCCAGAGGTCGCCCGCGGTAACGTGATCTACAACCAGCAGGCCGATGTGTTTTCCCTCGGATTGCTGCTCTACGACCTGCTGACGTGCGGCGAGCGCATTTCAGACGGAATGAAGTTCCCCAGCGAGTTTGATGAAATCGCTGTGCAGGGGAAACTTCCAGGTAAATAACTACCACTGATTATTTATTAAAGTTTCCGGTTATTTTTTGTTTCCCTTTTAGAAACAGCATTATTATTCATAAACATAAACCCTGATGAAACACCAGGAGTCACTGGAGGAGTGGCGGTTATGATGGAAGCTAGCTCTACACATTTGATGGACTCCATAAAAATAAAATGAAATTTATTTTGAATTTACTTTGTCATGTTTATCTTAACATACAAACATGTCACATTTGGTCCTGCCTTCCCAATAACACACATCTGCACGCGTGTGTGCTGTGGTGGAGTTTTATACATTAAACACAAGCAAAAGTGGCAGAACGAAGGCAAAACTCAGTGGTGCCATATAAAAATTTGACCTCCATCGTTTTTTCATGTCCCTTTGCATGCTTTATTTTGTCCTGACTTTTATATTTTCATTGCTTATGCACCAAACTGCAGCTACGAACACGGTTTACAGTGGTGATGGTGTACTGCTGACCTCTACTCAGGAAGTGGTGGATCGGTGGGTGGAATACTTCGAAGACCTTCTCAATCCTACCGACAGGTCTTCCAGGGAGGAAGCAGAGTCTGGGGACTTTGGGTTGGACTCTCCGATCTCTGGGGCTGAGATCACTGAGGAGGTCAACAACAGCTCCTCAGTGGCAAGGCCCCAGTGGTGGATGAGATCCGCCTGGAGTTCCTTGAGGCTCTGGATGTTGGGGGCTGTGTTAGTTGACGTGCCTCAGCAGTATCGCATGAACATCTGATACAGGCTTTTAGGTTTCTATGACCGGTGTCAGAGCTTGGTTCACATTACCGGCAGTAAGTCGGGCTCGTTTCTGGTGAGAGTTGGACTCCGCCAAGGCTGCCCTTTGTCACCAATTCTGTTTATAACATTTATGGACAGGATTTCTAGGAGCAGCCAAGGTGTGGAGAGGATCCATTTTGGTGGCCTGAGGATCAGGTCTCTGCATTTTGCAGATGATGTGGTCCTGTTGGCTTCATCAGAACGTGATCTTCAGCTTTCGCTGGAGCGGTTCACAGCTGAGTGTGAAGCAGCTGGGATGAGAACCAGCTCCTCTAAAGTCAAGACCTTGGTTTTGAATCGGAAAAGGGTAGAATGTCTTCTCCAGGTCAGGGATGAGGTCCCAAGTGGAGGAGTTTAAGTATCTGATGGAAAGGTGGAGCGTGAGATCGATAGGTAGGTTGGTGCTGCATCTGCAGAGATGCGGGCGTTGTACCGGTCTGTTGTGGTGAAGAGAGAGCTGAGTCAGAAGACGAAACTCTCGACGCAAGGGTCGATCTACGTTCCTACCCTCACCTATGGTCATGAGCTGTGGGTAGTGACCGAAAGAACGAGATCGCGGATATGAGCGGCCGAAATGCGTTTTCTCCGCAGAGTGGCTGGGCTCTCCCTTAGAGATAGGGTGAGAAGGTCAGTCATTCGGGAGGGGCTCGGAGTAGACCCGCTGCTCCTCCACATCAAGAGGAGCCAGTTGAGGTGGCTCAGGCATCTGGTCAGGATGTCTCCTGGTGAGGTTTTCCAGGCACATCAAACTGGGAGGAGACCTAAAGGAAAGGCCCAGGACACGCTGGAGGGACTACGTCTCTCGGCTGGCCAGGGACGGCCTTGGGATTCCTCCGGTGGAGCTGGCCCAAGTAGCTGGGAGAGGGAAGTCTGGGCCTCTCGACTTAGGCTGCTGCCCCCCGCAGATGGATGGATGTTTTATTTTCAAGCATCGACTTTCCAACAGAAGACCTTTTTATTCAGTCTGACTTCTAGTTGGGCAGCAGTAGCTCAACAGGATGAGCGGGTTGTCCAGTAATCGGAAGGTTGCAGGTTCGATCCCGGCTCCGGACAGAGAATTCTGCTGTTGTGTCCTTGGGCAAGACACTTAGCCCACGTTGCCTGCTGGTGGTGGTCAGAGGGACCGGTGGCGCCTGTACTCGGCAGCCTTGCCTCTGTCAGTGCGCCCCAGGGCAGCTGTGGCTACATCGTAGCTCATCACCATCAGTGTGTGAATGTGTGTGTGAATGGATGAAGGATACACTGTAGTGTAAAGCGCTTTGGAGTCCTTACTGTGAGAGGTGCTATACTAGTGCGGGTCATTTATCATTTATTTTGGACTGCCAGGCTCCCGTAGCATCTCCTCTCTGCCCTAAGATTATTGTGTTTACAGTTGAACTAATGTACTGTATGTCACAAAAATAATTATTGTTATAATAATATTTATTCTTGTCTTGAACAGGCCAGGCATTAGTGGGTTTTATGGTAGATTATCATGATTCTGGTGCGATCATTTCATTATGTATTCAATCACCACTAAGTGACACAAATCTACTGATGCTAGCCTGCGCTCTCCTGAAAATGAGAACTCTGTCTACGTTATCAGAAAATGTTCGCTATTGAAACTTTGTGCTTTCAAGACAAAGTTGAAGTTTATATTTCTGGAATAAGCAACTCAAAATCAACTTATCATAAGGTCTAGTGTGCTCTGCAGAGTCCAGGAGGTCATTTCGTGCCTTTATTTTGAAAAGGTGCAGCACAGCTTCCTGGTGTGTTTTCAGCTGTACAGGGAAAATGAATCCAGTGTGTTAAATAATTGTTTATATTTCTAATCTGTTTGCTGTATGGGGATGAAGTGTGTTTATTTTAAAACGACTGCCTTTGATTGTCTTAAAATCAGTTTCTACCACGGCTTTCCAAACAAAGACAAACCTTCGGACCGTTTACAGATAAAACATTAATGATGTATAATCTACACGCAGATCCAGTGAAGCACTACAGCTGCTCACCTTGGCCAGGCTTTCAGGCGCTGATGAAGGACTGTCTGAGGGACAACCCACTGGACCGACCCACCTCTGCTCAGGTGAGGAGGACCTGAACGCCTCATTTCAGCTTTCCAAAGATGAGATCAGAGGATCTGAGGAAGGAGAAGTCAGTGCTGAGGGAAACCTAAATGTCATGGAGACACGGAAACGCTCTGAGCTGGTGTTTGTTTTATAACGCTTGCAGGTGTTCGACAGGCTGAATTCTGGCGAGATGCTGTGCCTGATGAGGGAGCTGGAGTTTTCACGGATGTTCAGCCCTCAGTGCATCACTGTGAGCTCCATCAGCAGTGATGACCATGTTGCACCCCACCACGTGGCTTGGATCGGTGGGGGCAGCAGCTCCAGGAGGCGGGGCTTCGTCACAGCCGTAGACTTGAACACCAACAGGTTCACAACACAGGTGCTGACACACCTACAGCACACCTGGTGGAGGCTGATAGATCTGTTTAGCCACAGGAATGAGGTAACCTGCTTCTCTCCTCTTAACCAGGAGGTCGACACCAGCCCCGTCCTGTGCCTGGAGACAGTCCAGGTCCCAGACGAGGACTGTGATTGGCTGGTAGCAGGCACGCAGTCTGGCTCCTTACTTCTCATCAGCACCAGGAACTCGTCCACCTGGCACTACCTGCAGAGTGTCGGCGATGCGGTTACCTCGCTGCACTTCCACGTGAACCCTCGTCGCACGTAAGCCCCCCAAAAAACACGGCAGACCTCTCCAGGTCCGTCAGCTGGGTCAGTACCAGAACGTTCAAGAGGATTGTGGGACTTTTGAGGTGCTAACCACATGTTCAGTTGTGTTGCTCATTCATGGATTCACCAGAAGTTCCTCCTCGTAGATGGAGGCTTCACTCGTCAGGAATTTCAACAGTTTAACATTTATGACCAAACATCGTTGCACCAAGAAACACCCAAACACACGCCCCTCATGTTGGGCTGAGCTTTGTACTGAAAGAGCCACGATGATGCTAAGAGCTAACCGCGTGTTGGGGTGGTGTTCCTGCTGCCACCATCAGTAAAAACACATGAACCTGTCAGAGTTCTCATGCTACTTGTTAGATGGATGGCTTAGCAGCAGTGATGTGTGTGTCTGTTCACATAAAAGCACTTTCCATGTTTACTGTTGCAGCCAGAGAAGGAATTACCTGCTGGTGGGGTCAGCCGACGGAGTCCTCAGTGTTTACGAGGACTCCACTCTCAGGGTAAACATTTCTACCCAGATCCTGTGAATCTGCAGCCACCTAGCTTCTAGAACATTCTTGTCTTGCTTTGTGCAGCAGGAGAACGGCCAGCCGGTGAAAACTCTCTCTGTGGGAAACGTCAACACACCGCTTGTGTGTCTCGTCCAGTCCGTTCACCCGCTGGACTGCAGGTCCGTGTGGGCCGGCTGCGGAACCAAGATCCTCTCCTTCTCTGTTCAATACAACGTCTGCAAGTCCATCGACACCAGACCTAACGTCTCCTCCCAGTGAGTGGTCCTGAGTGTGGAACCAGCATGCACTGAAATCGTCCAGCCATAAGGCCTGCCCTCCTTTAGCAGTCAGCAGGGCATGGGATACGTTTAAACGGGTTACCAAATTATTTAAATCTTGCCTCACATGAACAAAAACAAAAATCTCTTTTATTTAAAAACGTTTCATTTAATCCAAAGTTTCATAAACAGACTGTTGGCTCGTTTCATTTAACCAGGAGGGAAATCCCATAGAGATTAAAAATGTCCCCTGATGAAGATGGGCAGCTGCAAGCATCACACTTCAAAACACACGGGTGCAAACAACACTAGAAAGGGTTAGCGGTCTAAATGAAATGGCCTCAAGATTTCTTGGTTTAGATTTAAAAACAGGCAACAAAATTAGCTCGGCCAATTCCAGTCAGCCTGCAGCCAACTGTGCAGCTACTGCAGGTGCGTGGTTCTGGTGGGCTGGTCGATCTAACAACGGGCCCAGATCAGCACATAGATCTAATGTGTGTGTGTGTGTGCGCGTGTGTGTGTGTGTGTGCTCCCTCAGGCAGAAGCTACTGAGCAGTGAGGCGTGTGTGTCCCGAATGGTTGTGGATAAATACGTGTACCTGAGTAAAGCTGGAACACCGACTGTTGAAGTCTGGGACAAGAAGAGCGAGAGGATGGTGGACTGCATCAACTGTGCTCAGATTATTAGGTACACACACACACACACACACACACACACACACACACAGCCACATATAAACGTGTCATCTCCTCACAGGAACGACTCTGCGTGCAGATGGAGGCGGGGCAGCAGAGTGGATCTGGGCTCTGATTCGTCCTCCTGGGCCACGGTGAAAGCTCTGCTGGTGCAGAGCTCTGCAGCTCTCTGGATTGGCACCAGAGGCGGCCACCTGCTGCTGCTGGAGCTCTCTAAACACCAGCCACTGCAGGTCACGGCACCCATGTGTGACTCTGTTCGCTCCATCACCTCAGCATTCATACGTAGGTCCTCCTTTCACTCAGGCTGGACTTTAGATGTTCTGCTTTAGACAACGGAGCTTCATCTCAGTGACCTTTTCCACCAGTTATTTCTTTTTTTTCTAAAGTATTGCATGCTTAATGTATTTTTGAGCTGATGAATTAAACATCTTAGCATTTATTAATGAAAAAGTAGGATTTTTAGAGGCCAGTGGATACGTTTAACTTGGATATTTTGACTATTGTCTTAACAAGTCTGAACACTGCTGTGGAGCCTGAATGGAATTAGATTTAGTTTCAGGTCAGTTTCTTTTATTTTGGCGTGAAACAAAAGTCAGAGAAACACAATTTCAGATTTCTAAACCAGTGGATCCCAAAGTTACTCTGCTAATCAAATAAGACCAAAGAAACTGTTCATTATATAACTGATTTAGGGGGTTTAACCCTCCCACTGTCTTTATGGGTGTGACCCCGTTAGGAAAGTTGACCATGTGGCAGGGGTGAGGTGGTGCTCACCCCTGCCACATGGACCCAAGGGATAAACCATCAACCCTACTCAATGGTCAACTTTCCTCATGGGGTCACACCCACTAGGACAGTGGGAGGGTTAAACCGGTTAGCTTAAAGGTTCCATATCATAAAAAACACATTTGGGAGCATTTTATATGTGATATGGTCATTTTCTCATGTGAAAGACCCCAAACCCATCTTTGGCTGCATTCATGCATGGTTCTGCCTCAGCCATAATTAAAATGTGAAGATTTTTCCTGCCTCCAGGAGAAAGTATCCCACTTACCTCATCAGGCATTTCTCCGTTCCCTCCTACATTAATGACAAAACATCTACAAAGGTGCACATAATGGCCAGCACAAGAGATTTAGGCTTTTTGTTTTGTAACAGACGTGGTAGTACAGTGGTTGGAGTGCTGGCTGGGCTCTTACCGCTGGACCACCATAGCCCATACAGACTTGCCGAAGACGCTGTGCTAGGCACGTTTTGTCGGTGTGGGCGGAGCTTTGCTGTAACGGTATAAATTTGGGCTGATGAAACTAACTTCTATTTAAGATAAATGACATCTCAATAGTGCCAATGATGATATATTATCATAAACTGTGCCTGCCTTTGCTCTGAAAGGTTTAAAGCAGCACAATCTGGAACCTTTAAGTACAAAAAGAGTTAAGTTTTCATTATTTCAGCTTTCAGTCGGGGTCACAACCACTGGTCTAATATCAGACCCTCTGAGACCATCAGCACCATCCTCCAGCTCTAGTGAGCGCTGTAGTGATACTGGACAGAGACCAGTTCAAGTGCAGTTATGTGTAGCAGTGACAGTGGGAACTGGTAAACAAAGAAAAGTAGAGAAAATAAAGATAAGTGAGGCTGAACATCCAGATCCAGCTGGGTTCTTGTTTGGCTTCTCGGGGCGATTGCCCGTAGACGACTCTCTGCACGCTGTGTGTTAAAGCTGGTTTCTCACGAGCAGAGACACTGGACTGGAAGAACGTGGTGCTGGTTCTGGGCAGAAGACTCCCACGAGACAAGAATCAAGATGGTGAGCCTGATGTGTCCTCTGGTGTCCTTTTTGGAAAACAGTCACCTCGCTGGGAGGCTCTCGCTCTACGTGTGTGTGCGTGCGTGTGTGTGTGTGTGTCTCACAGATGAGGAGTCTGTGCTGATGGTGTGGAACAGCATGCTGCCACATGAGGTCAAAGACCTGAAGAAGCACTGTGAGAGGAGAGAGCAGATCGCTGCTAAAATGAAAGAGCAGCTCCTTCATGCCTGAAGCAGCAGGTTTGGATCCGTTCTTCTAGCTCCTCTCTCGTAGACGTGTTTCATGTCTTTATCTGCTGCAGCACCAGAAAACAACTGGTGACAGGCTCCAAAAAATGTACTCATCTTCAAAGCAGCCAGAGGATCCTGTGACTTTTGAAAGTGGCAATGCATCATCTCTCATCTAGATTACGACGTTTTTAAGCTAAAGGCTGTTTGGAAGCACCGTGGTGAAGCTAAATCATTATTTCATAGTCTAAAGTGTGTTTTCTTTGGGTACTTTTATTGATTTAGACCATGAATCCGTGCACAGACACTGACAGGTTTACTGGCTAATTCCTTAAATTCAGGAGTCTTCATAAGGTTCAGTGGTTGCAGTTAAGTTGCCTAATAAAACAACAGAATCATGTTGTAGAAGACAGTCCGAAGGTCTGAATGAGTGGTCCATGAATGTTCAGTAATAGTGTGACCTAATTATTAAAAAATGCTTTTTCAGTGAACCACACCTTTAAACTGAATAAGTCCAGTTTATCATGAGTTAGCTAACCTGCATACCTCAGCACTGACATAGGTGTGGAGTTGGTCCATAAGTCATCAGCGCCAGGAGGCAGAAGAATCTCTTGCTTCCACCCCTCGTGGTGAATGGACACTGCAGCTTAACTCAACAGTAACATGACCCTGTCGGGAGTGCAAACTAAAGTCGTGTTAGCTATAGCGCTGTTGTGGAAGAAAGTAGAAATACAAACAGAACCACCGTCTGGTTCTTCTTGTTAACACTAGCGTTAGCAGCCCAGCTAGCTTCCATAGGAAGGTGGAAGCAGCAGCTCATCACCTTTAGTCGTTAGCTTTAGCTACATTTGGGATTAGTTCTGTTCTGTTGCTATCCCACGCTGCAAAGTAGAAACGTAGGTAGCACTGCTGCCTCACAGCAAGGAGGTCACAGGTTTGAATCCCGGTGCTGCAGCTTTTCTGAGCGGAGCTTGTTCTCCCTCTGCATGGTGGGTTTTCTCCGGATGAAGCTGTAGGAAATATCAACAGTAGTACAGATGCTATCATGTTTTAAGGTTGAGCCGCTTCCTACTGGAACATAATGTTTGTTTGTTTCTAGAGGCGTCAGCCAAAAGGGACGGACTCCCCAGTCACGTTGAAAGGGACGTTTTACTCCATTGTGCACTTCCCAGTACTCTGGCCTTGTGAATCCCACATCGCTCCTGGCAACAGAATCAAAGGCATCGGAGTCAAGACTTCTCCCACTGTCCCCGTGCACGTCATTCCAGATGATGACTGTTTAAAGGGATTTTTCAGCCACTTCCAAGAGTTTTTCTTTGTAAAAGTTTTCATCTCTGTTTTATGTTATTCATCTGAACGGCCTCAGTTTAGAGAAATAGCATTCACACCCTGAATGACTGGTGAGCGAAGGGCTTAAAGCTGTAAAGGATTGCATAGCAACGTTTACACCCCTATCACTTTTACTCTGGTTTATGTTGCACTTGAGCTAGCGTATCTGCCCTCTGATCAGGTAAAACAACAGAGACGCTTTAAACGGCTCAGATAAATCTCTTTACCTTCTGCGTATGTCTAAAAGGGACAGATGACCTGATGTAAGGTGGCACCAGACATATTTGTTTACCTGCCCAACCAGACAGCAGAAACTATGAAGAATGCCAGAACTAGAAGAAGCCACTAAAATGTAAGTTTGATTATTTATTCTCATGTCTGTGTTTATGAGTGCTCCTCAGAGGTCAGGACACAGCTTTTCACCATGCTGCCTTTGCATGTTTTCTCCTTTTCTACATTTTATTCAGTCACTTTGATGCAAAACAAGTCAGTAAAAGCTATTTTATACACCAGCATGGCTCCTTGTTCATTATAGCTTTTTTTTAATGTAGTTGTTTTGTGTTTTTGGTGTGTGTTTAAATGTTTTAGGCATGGAAAAGTCCCAAAACTGACTCAGACGTTAGAAAATAGTTAAAAGTCAAAGTTGAAGGACAGATTTTGTTTTGTAAACCTTTTATTTTGAATCAGGAAGGAAAAAACATCGCATCTGAAGCAAGTAGATGGAAAACATATTTACAAGGAGGACTCGGTCCTCCATGACGTGGACAGGTTAGTAGAAAAACAAAGAGATGAGTGAGAGTTAAGGGTCTGAAGTACTTCTGGACCTTAAAAGCACTGCTTTGATATCCAAACTATTAAGATAAATATATTTATAATATTTATATTATATTTACAGAATACATAAAATGTACAGCGTCCGTGTATTCTATAAACAAATATAAATCACTTAGGCACACTTTTGTCTCAGCAATCATGGGGGTGGAGTCCTCCAGCTGATTCAGAAACGCTGACTCATCATTTCACTTCATCATAATGCACTAAACACGTAAGGACATGATGAACACTGCTGCTCCAGCTGTGGGATGGAGTGTCCTGCTGGAGCATCGTACTGGATCCGTCTCCGGGCGGGCGCGGGGGGGGGGGTGGGGGGGTGGGGGGGGGCAGTGCAGTCAAACTAGATAAGGTTGGTGTTACTTCTCCACCCTGGTCTCGTTTTAAGGTGTACAGTCACATAAGGTTCAGAGACGACAAATAACAGAGCATCTACCATATCTACAAAAATGTAAGTTGCAAAAGGAACACACAACGATGATACGGCCGACTAAACGCACGCAGATGTGAGAGGGAAGGATGGCCAACTATTCCAGTCTACAAGTCTGACTCGGGCATGTCCGGCATGTCGGCCATCAAGTAACCGATACCATAGCGGCCATTGGGTGCTGTGTCCGGGTCGGCGCTTCCGCTTTGCTTACGGTAGATGCTTTTGCCGGGCATAGGTGAGGGGGCCTCACTGGGGGACTTGCCGTGGATCAGGCTGGCGTCATCGTCGTCCTCCGGCCGGGGGCTCTCCTTGATGACGCGGCCCTTCTTGTAGGAGACAGAGGAGAGGCCGCCGCTGTTCTCATCAATGATGTTGAAGTAGCGCAAACAGAAGACCACCGGCACGGGCATGATGGCCATCACCACCAGGGAGATGCAGACGGCAATGCCCCACGGAGGGAAGTGGAGGGTCTTCTCTATGGCCTGGAGGGCAGAGGTGAATGAAAGCCTGGGTTTGTGATTAGTTTCATGAGATTCGGGGTGGTTACTGGAGGGAATGCACTCACCTCTTCCTCTATCCAGGCACTATAGCTGGGTGGCGTCATGGCCAGCTGGATGAAGCTGGAGCACAGGAGGACGATCAGCAGGATGGGTGTGATGTACTTCCACATGTAATAATAGAAGTGGTATGGAGTGAAGCCCAGCATGTCCTTCAAGTCTTCAAAGAATCTGCAAAAGTGGCAATGCAAGTTAGGAAAAGACAAAATCATCATTTCTGTTCTGCACGAATGAATGAGCTGCTGCCGAGCTGGCCTCACTTATCGATCCCATAGAACCAGGCGATCGCGATGTTCTCCAGCACGACAACGATGAGCAGGGGCAAAGTAGCGGAGTAGTCATCAAACATGGCCACAAAGTAGTTCCCTGAGCGCTGAACAAACAGGAGGCCGATGGAGAAGGCCAACGTACAGCATCCCACTGCAGGAGGACAAACACACCGAATCCTCAGGGTGTCAGGATAAGGTCCTCTGACCGTCTCGGGGAATAAGTTAGAGGTGTAGAGTTCATATTTTCCATTTTAAACTTAGTTTGAAGCATGACTGTTTAAACATCAATATTCGTACAAGGCTGAACAAAGACTAACCCGTCAGAAACTCCTTGCGGACTTTGAAGGCATCGATCAGCGGCGTGAGAATTCCCTCGATGGTGCCAAACATGCTGCCGAGGCCCAGGTTGATCAGCATGAGGAAGAACATGACCGACCAGAAGGGCGAGGCGGGGAAGTGGGTCATGGCTTCTGTGAAGGCAATGAAGGCCAGACCTGTGCCTTGGACCGCCTGTTAAAGGAAGGAAAACAATCACAAACCAGCAAACCAGTAGGTGGCTGCAGAAACAAGCCTTCCTCCAGAGATGGGAAAGGTTTCCTAGATGTAGTTTCATACGCTGACTAAAACATTTAGATCCTTCTGAAACACGGGCAGATATTTCTTTGGGGTTACCTTATTGAGCTCGGCTTCAATGCTGCAGGGCTCCAGGCCCAGGTTCTGGTACTCGTTCTCCTTCACGCCTCTGAGAATCTCGGTCATCTGATGGTAGTCGTCAGCGCTGACCTGACTGACCTGAGTCAGGTTTATGTGGTGGGGGATGAGGCTCGGTTCAATGCCATTCCCCAACAAAGCCACAATCTTATTGGTGTTCCTAAAAGACAACGAGACAGTCTTTAACACGTGTAGACAAACTTCTGGATTTGGACGGTCTTCCCTAAAGACCTCTGGACCACACTTGAGTGGTTGATCGCTCACTGTCCGTTCTACTCACAGAGAAATGCATTTGCTGGTCATGATGTTGGCTTTAAAGCCCAGCACAGCAAACACCACCAGGGTGGCCAGCACGGAGGTGAAGAAATTGATGAATGATACCAAGACGGCATCAAAGTGGCAGTTGTTGTTGCGCTTGTTGTAGCTGGAAAAGGCGATGACGCCGCCGAAGCCAAGACCGAGCGCGAAGAAGACCTGTGTGGCCGCCTCTCGCCACACTTTGGCCTCCAGCATGATCTCCAGCTGAGAGCAGTGCAGGAATACTGGGTTAGGGTTCAGTGTGCCTCGTCAAAATAAGTCAGGCCCACACACACACACACACACACACACACATACACACACACACACACACAAACACACACACACACACACACACACACACACACACACACACACACACACACACACACACACACACACACACACAAACCCTCACTCCGCAGCCTGCATCACTATTATGTAGATTATTTTCATTGAACTGGCGTTTTCCTTGATTTATGGTAAACACATAACTTCAAAAATACACATTTAAGAATTTAACAGAAATACGTGAAGCTTTCATAAAATCCAGCTTGTTTAGATGAGAATCTAAGGACACGCACGCTGGAGGAGCTGAGAGAGCACACATGCGACAGGCACTCTGCTGACTAGGAGTATCTTCTGCTGGCCGGCTACATAAGGACGCGGTACCTCCTGTTTCCATGGAGACACGGTTCTGTGGCCTGTCATGCTATTGGCTGAGGGTGCTGGAGAGCCAGCCTATCAAGCTACAGATGTAGTCTTTTGAGTTCCAGCAGTTAAACGGTGAAACCATCAGGGAGATGAGGAAACGGCTCTGATATGGTAATCTAACAATATGTTTAATTCATTAGGATTAGCTTTAATCCTGTATTTTTGCCCATATTTCTGTTTATTGAGCAAAAACTACTTATGGTTTACATGTAAGCAGATAAACCAGCTGTAGAGGACTAAAACTCAAACGTAAAACAGCAGTAATACAGAACAGAGTCTGACGGGTTAGGGTTCACTCTGACCTCTGATGTGCTTTACCTTGGGTGTGAACATGTGACGAATCCCGTCCACGGAGCCCTTCAGGAGCAGCGCCCGAGCCAGGAAACAGATCAGAACAACGTATGGAAACAAGGAGCTGAAGTACATCACCTGCAGGGGGGGGGGGGGGGGGGGTGTCATCAGTTTTACACAGTGGGTGCTGGTTTACAGTAACTATCTTTATTATTCTGACAGCATCATAGGCCCTGCCTGCATGAGACATAACACCCTGTAAAACCCCTTCACAATAAGAGCCTGGTAATTAGGGCAAGCTTAACGTAAAAACATAACCCTCTCACAGTTGAACGTCACTGAAATGATGGAGAGTCGGGTTATAAACAGGAAAGTGGGACGGACTAAATACTGGGTTCACCATGTTTTTGTTCTGATAACTATAATCAGCCCGTTACACACACACAGGTGGCGACCTCCATGTTAGGGCTTCCACAGTGAGATTAAATGTGTGAGTGCAACAAATGATTTGAACCAGAAACAATGCAAATAGAAGGTATATTTCTACAGCGGGACATTCTGCTTCAAGTTTCTAAAATGGGGGTTTTGTACTTTTTCAACACTTTTCTTTACAATAATTATCCCCCCCCCCCCCCCCCCCCCCACACACACACACACACACACACACACACAGAGGATTTGTTCAGAGGTTGGATCTGAAGGCCTGAGTCAGCCACGGCGGCTGTCGGGGCGTGGTTGCACTCTAACAGGTGATTTGTGGTTGACTCATTAGATGACTCAGAAACATCCCGTGTAGCTGTGATGGCGTAACGTCTCCTTAAAGATGAATGAAACCCCAACAGGACTGTGTAGTCATTGTTTAGAAAATGGAAACGTGTTCTCTGGTTTGTAACTTTCCCAAGAAGATGTCGTTTTTAAAGCTAAACTAAACTTTGGTCTACATTATGAATAAAACATCCAGAATTATAATACAAACATGTTGCAACAATCATGGTAGAGTATATTTACACTGCAAGTGAACCTTGGACACTCATGCGTTTATGTGTAGTTGAAAATTTCAATAATTTGAATCAGTTATAATTGCAATAAAGATCTGATTTGCTGCTGAGAAGTCAAGTGTTTCAACTGCTTTTCTCTCCTTTTGAAACTTATTTATTTTAGACTTTTCCCCCTCAGCTGCAGCTCTCGTCAGGGCTGGTGTGAGTCAGCCCTCCCATGGCTGTGCTTTCTTACACAACACAGCTGTAGCCTTGGTCAGAAAAAGCCACACAGCCTGTCTGTCTGCCACTGCAGCTTGATGCTCCATCAGCGATAACGCTAACAGATAGACTGCAGGTGCTGCTCGTGGGGGCCATGTTCGGGGAGCCCCTCTGTACAGGAGAGGTCACAAACATGTAATGTTAGCACACACAACAGCTCTAACATCCTTTCATGGCAAAAAAAAAGAAATTATTTTAATGATCACCAAAGCATTTTCAGCTATTTTATTGAAATCTGGTCCAACACGTGCCCAAATAAGATGCCCCCTCCCAACTCCTTCTTTGCCACACTCCTGGCAACTAAGCCAGCCAAAAGAAAGCGTGTAACCATAGCAACCAAACCCGTTTCATCCCTTTTCATACTCAGTGTTGGGAGTAACGCGGTACTAAAGTAATTAATTACTGTAATGCATTGCTTTTTGCTGTAATGTGGTAATGTAAGGCATTACAGGGAAAGAAAAAGGTAATATTTACTCGGTACAATTGTCAGTAACGCAGTAATTATAATGCATTTTTAAACCCAGAATCAAGATGTGGGTTTCCTAAAAATTCTAATTGCAGGAAGCCTGAAAAAAGATCCAGTATCCACATATATGACGTCATTTATGGACTCAGCTTTGCGGGCATTCTGTGAGCAGAGAGGACGCAGCGGTAATGGCTCAAATACTCCAGCTGCGTCCTGCACGCGGCCGCTGTTATATTCACAAAATCGCTCCACCAAAACAAAGTCATTCGTTTGTGATCGTTTATATCAGCCCATATTCTCTGGTACTTCATGTACTTTTCAGCTGAGTTCATAATCTGTGCCCCGGTGATTTCAACTCATTGCTGCTGGAGCATGTTAAGCTTTTTTTTTGTTTGTTGCGTTTGGTAGATCCCTTTGGCTGATTATTTAGAAAGTAGGAAATCTAGGAAACAGTTTTTCTGGAAGACGGAGAAAACATGCAGCATGCAGGAAGGTTAGAGAGAGAAAGAGCCGGAAATTATTCACATAAAATCAAGAAAACAAAACAAAGTGCTTGAAAAGAAAAAAGTAGGAAGATTTATCCCCAATACACATTTTTACCTGTGAAAAGCAATAATATATAAGCATTTAATATTTATACATGTGATAGAATCAGATCACCCCAGAAGTCAATCCCACATCCAGGGCCGTATCAAGGCATTTGGGGACCAAGGCAAATATAGGCTTGGAGACCCCACCACCTCACTCCCTGCTCAGTTAATATAAGATGGCAGCGTGCTGAGAGTACAGATTGGTGTTGCTTTTATTTAATAAACAATCATTTTAAAACACTGTTATTATATCTGACTGTTTTTAACAGCAATCCTAGCTCAGACACCACATCACCTTCCACATATATGTCATGAGCTCACTGAGCGTCACATGACCAGATTCATACTGAAGTTGTTTTGGTGAAAGTAACTTAAAGTAATGCAAAAGTAGTATAGTGCCTTACATTTTAAAATCAGTAATATTGTAATGTAATGAATTACTTTAAAATGAGGGTAACAAGTAATAAATAATGCATTACAGTTTTGAAGTCACTTGTCCAACACACAGAAAATGGCCCAGAAACATTGATTTTGTTTTCTTAGGGCAGAGAGTGGCCCTTCTCTACATGTGGAAACTGGAGCATTAGTGTGTTTTTGTTTTAACAAAAAGCAACACAAACTTGAAACATAATTAAATCAGTTCACACGTTCGAGGAAAAAAATACGGTTTTACTCCCAGCAGCTAAAAATGGCTATCAGACACACCAGATGGCTGCTCCGCCTGTCCTACTACTGCCTGCTTCACAGATGACTTTATTATTGGAGATGCTGGTGATGGTGACAACTGCGTCTGTGGACAGGAGCAGAGAATAAAACACCTCTGCTGGGGAAGCTTTCCATCCTGTTTTGTCTGGGCCTGTTGGGATGAACGTGGGGCCAAGCGGGCTCGAGACAGCTGCTCTGAAAGGACTTGAGCCATGGACAATGCCTGAGTCAAAGCTTTGAAAGCCACCTCTCCCATTCATCCGAGGTACGCTAGCCTGTTCCTTTGGAAACCGTAGCATTCTCCTAAGAGCTGACTGGCATTTGAAGCTCCAGGCTCGTATCCACATAAACTGTTTTACTAGTTCACAGTACATGTTAATGTTGGCAACGTATCTAAGGATCAAAACTACATTAGTCTAGTTTTAGTTAGGGGTTAATTGTGATTAAAGTAGTGAGAAGCATTGGTAATGTCCCAAGGTCAACTCAGGCTGATAAAAATTCAACTCTGGAAAAATGTAGACCTCAAAATCATTAACAGATTAAAAAATGTAACATTTACATAGAAAAAGTGTCAAAAACAACTCAGTGAACATGTTTTTCACCTATTTACTCACAATAAAATGCTACAACATTGTGAAAGATTAACAACCGTAACAGTCTAATGAAACATATCACTAGTCTATTTAGTTTGTATGAAAGGTTTTCCTAATTGTTGTAAAACATTTTTCACTGAAGTTAATGCAAATGTTTGCTAATCAGTCCAATTGAAATGTTGATTAATTAGATAACGTTTCCTTCTTGTGGACTACTTTCTTAAAGCAACGGTACAGAAGTGTGTTTCTGTCAGTGTGATGTAAAAACAATGGAGTAGTATCAACAATGAATGTTTCTCGTTCTAACGTAATGAAATCTTGTTTAAAGACCTTCTCATAATTGCAACAACATATAAAAGTTGTTGCAACAGGAAAGCTTCTCTTGTATAACGAGATAGGCCTAAAAGTAAAATGGTGTTTTCTCCAAACGAACGAGGCGGTTAGTCCAGTTCCAGATGTTAAAAAGGGTTACTAGGCAGTTTTGCCTTGCTTTTAGCGCCCCCTAGTGTTTGTTCGTTAAAGCAAAAGTGAAACTTTTCTTCTCGCTGTCCGTTTGTCTTTTTAACACTTTGATCTAGGTGCTGAAACGTCTCCTCAGTCTTCATTAGTTCTACAGAAGAGATTCCTCACTGAGTGAAACTAATCAGATGTGTTCACAATCTAAAGTGTGCTGGAAGAAGACTGCAGCGGCAGGTATGTCAGCTCCATTTTTCTAAGCCCAACAGGGACCGGACCGGCACTGTGAAGTTGCAAGTGCGATACTGGTCTGAGTGATATTTCCTTTTAGCACATTCTGGCACGGGAAAAATAATTGAAAAATGTAAAACTGTAGCATAGGATGCCTTTAAAGTAACATTAAACATTTTCAAGCTCCTCTCTCCTACTGGTTAAAAGTGGGATTACAACTGTCAAACAACCCAGCCACAGCCTGCTGTAGCTAGCGCTAACAACAAGCTAAAGCTAAGGTGAGACAGCTGATATTAAATGACACAAAGTAAAAAGATCCACACTGTTAGACAAAAAAATATTGTTTACAAGTCCAGTAGCAACAAAGCCAGGTCACCATCAGTCTGGCAACTCATAGCCTCCTTTGGCTCCCTGAAACCAGTTTAGGCCATGCCAGTGTTCACTCTGGTTTTAGCTTTTTGCTTCGCCTCTAAAGACATTTACTCTCTGGCTTTTACTTCAAGGCTCCGCCGTGATGCCAACTAAAAAGTAAACTTGGTGGACTGATAAAGATTTCTGCTAGCCAGAAAATAGCTAACAGCCATTAAGCAGGTAAAGAGCGCCCGCTAGAGCACCTATCTGCTCCAGAACAGTGCTGTTTCTGGTCATTGGAGGTCTGCAGATGAGGGCTGTCCCTTGTAAAGTTGGTAAAGTTTCTACCTACAAAATCACTGAACCTCACTTTTAAAGGAAGTGATTAAAGTGTTGTTTTACTGCTTAGTGTTGTTTTAACTTTAACAAAAAGCAGGAAGACCACCAAACAACAGCTGCGTAACAGATGCAGAGGACGGTGTCACTCTCTGCTGCCCGCTCATAAACGGAGAAGAAAGTGACGCCACCAACATCGCCACAACTCTGAGGGTGGCTAGAGGAATTAGCCGAAACGTTAGCAAAAAACAGCATTTCTTTTCTGTGGTTAAAAAGAGCCAAGAGCAAGTTGAACAGATACAGAGTGAACAAAAGATATTCAGGACAGTTCTCACAGGCCTGAGTGTGACCTCAGAAGTGCACAGCTAATACTCGTCATGTGATAAATAAAAGCATGTGATGGTGAGGATGATCACCTGCACAAAGGGAGGTGATGCAGAGCCAGTTTGGGAACAAATGGCAAAAACCTCTGGGCTAATCCTTCCGGATGCAAGTCATACTACTGTCAGCTTTGGTGCACTAATCTGATGTCATCTGAGCCAGAAATCACATCACATGAGCTCTTGGATTTATACCTGAAACAGTTGTGTTAGGAAACGATTCTGAGTGGTAATACAGCAGTGATCCAAAAGCCCCCTTAGACCTCGCTAACACGAGCTCATTCTGACTGAGAGCACAGCTTAAGAAGAAACCTTTTGTTCCAACAACTTCCACCTGTTTGTATTCATCCTTGGCTCTCTGCAAAGTGGTGCTTCGCGGTTGCATCACTGTACTGAACTGTTTTCCTTTGATATCTGCTTTTACATAAAGAACAGATTCCAATTACCTTTCCAGAAGACTGGATTCCCTTGATCATGGCAAGGCAGACCATGGACCAGGCAGCCAGCAGGCACAGTGTCATCTTCCAGTTGAGTCCTCCTCCCTCGGAGATGCTGTCAGAGATGTCCAGGGCCTTACGGTACCAGTAGTAAGTGGTGGCTGAGCTCTTCTCACACTCTGGCACCACGACTACAAAACCAAAACAGAAAAGACCCAATGAGACACTGGCTGTGCATTAGGGAGGCACCAGTTCTACTTTTCAGGGTCAGAGTACAACCATGAACAGCTTCCACATGGAAATTAGCCATAAAATGACATATATTAAAAGAGAAAGCCCTGCAAATTTTCCACTTTTAATTTGGCTTCCCCAAGAGTTGTCCATGAATGTGCCCTGGTTCCTGTGGCTTACATGTGCTGGTCTTGTTATTAACAAGTGGACATTCATGCCACGGTAACGGCTGCTGGAAGGACTGGGAGAAGTAGAAGAGACTCCAGCTGATGATGACATTGTAGTAGAGAGCCACGAAGAAGCACACCTGCAGGCAGGAGAGCACGAGAACTTCAGACACCCAAAAGATGTGGAGCAGTTGGAGTACAGCTACCGGCATCAACCATCTTACCTGCTGTAGATAGCTCCGTGAAGAACCTCAGTTTGGAGAAACACTTCTGACCAAAGTGATGAGCTAACTGCTAGTCTGATTAGCACCCGTTCCAAACATCCCTAAAAAGTTAGTTTTTAACGTTTCCTAGATATTTGTGCACAAGTGATTTACCTCCAGATAAAATCTAGCCATATAAGTGATGAAACCTAACTTTGACTCTATATTCCACTAGAAATACTACCAGGTAAAAGACTAGCCATTAGCTCATCAATCTGGTCAGAACTAATCTCTGTTTCTCTAAACTGAGGTTGTTACAAGATACCATATCAGTCCTGTTCATCCATTTACAAATAAAACCACCGCCCCCAGGTCTGAAACATCGCTGATCACACACCAACACCATAAACACAGAATGTGTCACTCTGAGGTAAAAATTTTTTTTTATCTGAAATGAAACTTCCTGTGCTGCATCAGCCCAGCGCAGCATCAGACTGATGCAACCTTCATCTGTGGTTTCACAGCAGATGGAGGTTGCATCAGCACTTATCCTTTGGCCCCGTCACTTCATATACGTGGAAACAGCTGGTGCGTTGGCGCCAGACTCACCACACAGCTGGCGAAGCCGATGCCTCCCAGCCGAGGGCTGATGTAGTTCCACACCCCGATGCTGCCCCTGCGGATCCGCTGACCCACCGCCAGCTCCAGGAAGAACAGCGGGATGCCGATCAATACGAGCAGGATCAGATAGGGCACCAGGTACGCTCCTGCCAGTCAGAACCGCACCGTTAGAGGATGAAGACAGGAAATGAAAGTGTTGCATCAGATGGGAGCGACATCAGAACATTTCAGTTTCTGAAAACCACAAACAGTGTGCCACGTGCTGCCCCGGCTCACTAACAAACACACCCACTCACATTTGCTGCAGTTTGAATCTGTATGCTCCCCCATGATGTGTGTGTGTGTGTGTGCGTGCGTGCGTGTGTGTGTGTGTGTGTGTGTGTGTGTGTGTGTGTGTGTGTGTGTGTGTGTGTGTGTGTGTGTGTGTGTGTGTGTGTGTGTGTGACTGGTTGTTTGTCTCTGTGATGGACTGGAGACCTGTCTAGAGAACCTCTCACCTGATGCCTATGGAGACAGACACCACCTCCCTGTGACTCTAAAGGAGGTGAATGGATGGATGGATGGATGGATGGATGGATGGGTGGATGGGCGGATGGATGGATGGATGGGTGGATGGGTGGATGGATGGATGGATGGATGGATGGATCGGTGGATGGATGGATGGATGGATGGATGGATGGATGGATGGGTGGATGGATGGATGGGTGGATGGGTGGATGGATGGATGGGTGGATGGGTGAATGGATGGATGGATGGATGGGTGGATGGATGGATGGATGGATGGATGGGTGGATGGGTGAATGGATGGATGGATGGATGGGTGGATGGATGGATGGATGGATGGGTGGATGGGTGGATGGGCGGATGGATGGATGGATGGATGGGTGGATCGGTGGATGGGTGGATGGATGGATGGATGGATGGATGGATGGATCGGTGGATGGATGGATGGATGGATGGATGGATGGATGGATGGATGGATGGATGGGTGGATGGGTGGATGGGTGGATGGATGGGTGGATGGGTGGATGGGTGAATGGATGGATGGATGGATGGGTGGATGGATGGATGGATGGATGGATGGGTGGATGGGTGAATGGATGGATGGATGGATGGGTGGATGGATGGATGGATGGATGGATGGATGGGTGGATGGATGGGTGGATGGATGGATGGATGGATGGATGGATGGACAACTTCTCTTCCCCTGATGTGCACTGATACTTCCAGTCTTTCCCTGATGGCTTTAAAAAGCACAGAAACCTGTCCTAAACTACCACATCATCACAGCATTTGTCTTCTGGAGCTGTACTGTTGCTGTGACACCCTTCTGTCCTCTCTCTCTCAGGGACAAACCCCAACAGCAGATGTGAGCGCCGCTGGGTCGATGTCCTCTTGTGTTTACTGTGAGTCGCTGAAGAACATGCTGAAATGGCCTCCGTGGGTGGCGTCGTCCCTGTTCAAACACGTCGTATTGTTTCACCTGGCAGGGCGCTCAGCCGGCTCCTTTCCTGAGTCCCGCCCAGATCTGATCTAAACGGGAGTGGCAGAGCAAAGGAGCCCGGCCGGCGCACGTGTCTACTTGGTGTTTCACGTACACAAGTGGCTTCAGCTGAATCTGGGCCACACACGGCTCATTCTAGGGAAGGGGCTTTGAAATCAGTCGGCATCAATGCGTAGCTCCTCTGAGCACCATTGTTTCAGAGAGGAAATGAAAAGGTTCTGATGCTTTGATGATGCAATCAACCAACATCCTGGTCAGACGGAGATATTTTTGTCTCATTTCATTCTAAAAATAAAATCCCAATTTGGGTCACTTCCTGCACATCAAGCATGAGACATTTTGTGCAAAACCGTACGTATATATTCAAACATATATAAAGTGCTCAGCATAAATGAGTACACCCCCTACATTTGTCTGAAAACCTTGGGTTTCCTCTCAGAATCAACACAATGTGAGCCGTTGATTACAAACAAGATTTGTTCATTTGCACACACAAAAAAAGTTTTTGTCAAACAAATCCATTCAAGCCCATGTTGCAAAAATGAGTACACCCCAGTTATAGTCTTAGGAGAAAAGTCACACTTAAGACTACAACATTAGAATTAACGTTTTCAACCACAGGTGAGTCTAACGATGAATCTAAGAGGTGTCCTGCAGACAGGTGACCATAAAAGGGCGTTACTTAACTAAGAAAAGTCCTTTCCATTTCTACTGTCAGCAGTGGCTCCACATGGAAGAGAAATGTCACAAAATCTGAGAAAGGAAATACTTTCTCTACACAAAAAGGTGAGGGCTACAAGAAGACCAGCAGAGCTTTACGTATCAGCCAGAATACTGTAGCAACAAGCAGCACGCTGAGCATCACTCTCCATCCAGACTCTAGAAGACGTTATTCTTGAAGAATAGAAAACGGTAGATGTTGCAACATGTCGCCTACTTGTTCATTCCATGCCTAGAAGACTTGGTGCTGGCCTTGAAAATCATGGTGGTCATACAAAATACTAGTAGTAGTTTTGTTGTGGGGTGCTTATTCCAATGTTAGTATAACAGAAGATTTGGGGATCCAAGTTATTTTATCAACCTTAATTTCATGTTAGGAATTTAAACAAGTGTTCAATATAACCACTGAATAAACTGGTACTTTGTATGCTGAGTACTGTGTACTGTATTTTCCACGTTTGTACATATACCTCAGCTATATGTGCATACATTGTAAGTGTGTGTGTGTGTGTGTGTGTGTGGGGGGGGGGGGGGCATTTAACTAGAAGAAACCATCTCTGTCTGATAATGTATCACATACCCCAAACAGGAAGAGTTAGTTTAGATCAGTGTTATCAGATGAAACCGTATGAAGGTTGCTCACATGTTTTTCACAGAAATAACAGGAGTTGTTTTTTTTTGTTTTGTTTTTTCCTGCGGGCCCCTTTAGGACAGGATGTCCAAACAAAATGAGCCACAATCATCAACATGGAGGAACTTGTGGGCCACAATTTTAATTACAAGAATCATTTCACCTTGTATGTTCTTTTGTTTACCATAAGAAGAACAAAGTTTTTTGAGTTAAGCAGAGAACGGACCTGTGAATCTCAAACATATAAATAGTCTCATATTTAATGATTCATTTATTAGTTGGGCCTGGGATTAGTAAACAACTCACCGTAGAAACGAAAACTCGCCATAATCTTGTTGGATAATGTCATAATTATTTTTGGTATCTTATTGTACAGCTCCCTAATCTCATAGAATATTGTCATTATCTCATTTTATTTTGCCATAATGTAACTGGATATAGTCATAATTTGGATATTGCCATAATGTAATTGGATATTATCATACTTTTGTTGGTCATTGTCATGCTCTTGTTGGATTTCACTATCATTTTGTTGGATATTGCCCTAATCTCACAGAATATTGCCATAATTGTTATTTGCTATTATCATAAATTGGACATTGCCCTAATTTAATTGGATATTGCTATCATTTTGTTGGACATTGCCATAATCTCATTGGATATTGCTATTATTTGGTTGGATATTGTCATAATTCCTTTGGGCATTGCCATAATCTTGTTGTATATTGGTAATTACCAAATCTCATTGAATTTAGCCAAGATTTCATTGGACATATTCATAATTTGGATTTTGCCATAATCTTGTTGAATATTGCAGTATCACGTGCATGTTTTTGTCCCTCCTCTCTCACGCATCATGGCAGTGCAGAACCTGCCAGCGTGACACTGATTACATAAGAGGCTGTGGTTGATGGTGGTCATATTGCTATTCAACATGTCACCCAGCATTAATTAGGTAATATCCTTTCATAGATGGAGAGCTCCTATTCTGTCACCTGATACATTTAATCAGTTTTCAGGTAGACTTCTATAATCTGCAGCAGGGTATATATATATATATATGTGTGTGTGTGTGTGTGTGTGTATATATATATATATATACATATATATGTATAGATATGTATATATATATGTGTGTGTGTGTGTGTGTGTGTGTGTGTGTGTGTATGTGTGTGTGTGTGTGTGTGTGTGTGTATGTATGTATATGTTCTGGATTGAGATGTCTGGTGTGTTTCCTGGGACCTGCTTTAGCCATTCCTCCAGTCTGGGAGTTACTGCCCTGAGTAAGGAGAGAGGCTTAGGCTGTAATGTATTTCTACGCCACTAAATGGTGGCCTGTGACAGAATGACTTCAGATTTTTGCTTTAACCAGTGTTGATGAACCTTCCTATCTAGTAGGGGCTGGTTGGGACTACAGAGAGGCACTCACCCCCTCCATTCTTCTGACACAGGTAGGGGAACCTCCAGACGTTGCCCAGGCCTACAGAGAATCCAACCTGGGCCAGAATGTACTGGAGCTTGCTGTTCCAGGCTGGACGCTCCTCCTCCTCGCCATCTGAGCCTCCTTCCTCCACATCACACTCCTTGCCTTCCCCTTCGGGGCTGTCGACGATCAACGATGCCTTCTTGAAGGAATCATCACAGGCGTCCTCATTGGAAAGCAGGTCCCTGACAGACTCAGTGACATCATCGTCAAGCTCTCTCTTGACGGCCTTGCTGTTTTTGGGCATTTGATAAGACAGACTAAGGCGAGGGGGCGGAACGTCTTTTTGTTCTATTTGGGCCGGAGGGCAAAGCCTTCAACTGCCAAATGTCGCAATGTGACGAACTCTGTGTGAAGTATGAGGGTGTCTGGGGCCAACAGCCAGTAGGATTCAGGACAGTCTGTGAAGGTTGAGCAACTACTGAGCTTTTTATTTCCTCATTATCACCAAATATCTGTGGGGCAGAAGAGAAACAGAACAGTGATCAAGCTGAAAGTAACACACAAAATTCAGTGTTATTAAAAATCCTCACGCAGATAAATGTTTCATATTCCTACTGACTTAATGCTCTGGTCGACCATTTGGTGGAGACCTAACTTAGGATCTCATTACAACATAAAACAAAACAATAAATAAATAAATAAAAACAACAATAATAATAACAATAAAAGAAATACCACAACCATGGCGGTTGTGTCATCCGTCTCACTTTTGATTTGCCAGTGATAGACCGCGAGGGTAACTTTGACCGTGCGGAGACGAAGAGGAGTCGAAAATTTGATATCAAGTTCAAAGAGAACGTGCTGATTATGCTGCAGAACACTCTGGGGAGCAGTAGCAGGGGTTATATGAACTAGTCACTAGTCGACTTCACCGCTCTATAGTGACTTGTTATGTCTGTCATCGACTAGTCGCTGTCACGTGATGATGACCAGCAAGATGCAGTCCTCGGAAAAGACAGCAGCCTGCTGTCAGCAGGTGACAAGCTCCTGCGCGTCGGGAGGCAACGTGCTGTGCCAGAGCGTCGGTACCGACGCCCGCCGTAAAATGGACATTTAACCAAATTGTGACCTTTACCCTCTCGTTATTTAACCTTCCCCTCACCCCCATCCTAACCTTAACCAGCTTGCGCATTCAAAGCTCTGATTGTTGACGCGCTCCAGACATCTGTGTCCTGAGCAAGGCCACAGTAACATTATCAAATCAGGTGTCGCCACCTCAGAAACTAATTTAACACACGATCGTTCATGTCGGCTCATTTCCTTTTATGTTTTCTGTCTTTTATTCTTTTATTTGTTCCTGATGCGTTTCGCTGCTGTAGATCGGGGCGCATCACCTGTTTTGTCCTCGGTGACGCACCTAACTGATGTGGCCGGGAGCACTCCGCTGTTTTTGCGGTCGGTAGATCTTTTAGAACTGCAGTTCAAAGGTAACTCATGAGGTGAATATATATGAACCCAGGTAGCAGTTTCTCTTTAGGATTGAGAGGAGATGCAGGAAGATAATAAACAGGCAGGACAGAAAAATAGTCAAATAAAAGCAATTAGTTGTTGTACCTGGTGGTTGCAACAAACAGACACCACTGAAGGTGATCAGAAGTGAGGAACAGAAAATGAAATAATTATTTTAATGTTTAGAGCAGCAGGAACTCAGAGAGGCTGCAGGCGCATCAGTGAGTTTGCGGCTGCTGTGCTGAGGGGGGGGGGGGGGGGGCTGAAGCAGAAACTACCGTTGTTAAAAGAAATGTGTTTAACTTTGAAAATGTGGGCGCAATTTTAATTGTCAAAAACTCCAACGAACCATTAGTTCATTTTGCTCAAATAGAAACTGAGGCCTGCCTCTAATACTGGTCCTCCTTCCAATAAAGGCCTGGAGCTTGATGAGCTTGAGTCAAATACAGGCCCGGGTCTGTATTAGAGGATTTACGGTAATAATAATTCAAACTTTTTGGCCTTTTGGAGAAAAAGTTCATCATAATCCAAGTCAGAGATCTGTAGCCCTAAAATAAATTTAACTCGTAGAACCACATTGGCCCTTAAAATCAGAATAAAATGAGTCATTATCACTTTTGTTGAACAAACATGTGTAAGAGTCAGTGACACATTTTCTCTGCAGAAGGGCGTGTTGAGCTCAACAGTTAACTAAACACTGCCATTTCAGCTCGTTTTGGTGCAGAAATAATTAAATGTGCACTCTGCATGTATAATATCGCGTTTTATTAAAATATGTAGCTCAAATGTAGTTCTACACAAATCGTTGCAAATGCAGAAGTTTTAGACAGAAAGGTGATTATCAACGGAGCCACTTCATATAGGATGAAGGGCCATCTTTGGCTCCAGAGCCACGGGTAGCAGACCTCTGGAACAGATTCCTAAAAAATAAAAATCATATTTTTTAGGGCCACATTCACGGAGAGCTCTGCCCTCGTGCACGTGGACATCACATGGCAGGGACACCATGAACAGAGATCGTTTTATTCCAACTCATTTTACGAAAGAAATGAACGCCTGGGAGCGTCTAGCCTGCTCTCTGTCGCGGACGGTGACAGGACCAGGTCCAGGGTTGGAGACTATTAGGTTTCCAGTCTCCTGAATTATTGAAAGGACAAAGCTATTTGGATCCAAACCCAAACATCCCCGCTGTCGGCTGAGGACAATGGAAGCTCTTAGACATCTCGAATCCATTTGTCCTCGTTTCTGATGAGTTTAATTGTTTATTTATAAGAAAAAACGGCAAAAGTTGTGATTTTTTCACCGGAATGAAATCCTATGGGTGTGTGCGCCGCGGCCATCCGACACGCCGGCAAGGTGCGCAGCATCCCTGGCTCATAAATTACCTCCAATGCGACGCAGGCATTAGCCGCAATTTTCCTCCTAACTTCTATCAGCTCGTTTAAAATGTCGCGGACGCGTGAGGATGCAGCACACGCAGCCCTCTCGGATTAAGAGATTATTGGATTTCCTTTAATTTTAGCCATGGTGTGTATGGGGAGAGGCCGCTTCATTCAAAAGCCACAAAGGAGCGCCGATTCTCACTAACCGGTGTCATTATTATTATTATTATTATTATTATTATTATTATTATTAGCCTGATAATAATTTTGATAAAGAAGCTATTATTATTTGTAAGCAATAAATAATAATAAAACTGGCTCGAGCTGCCTGAAAACTAAAGGCTACCAGACAAAGACTAAACGCCTCCTTCAGTTTCTTCCATTTTTTCTACACACGAATTTTTATGGCAGAAATGCGATTAAACGGGAGGATTTGTAAACACGTATAACATGGTAATAAGCCTTAGAAATGCCATGTGGTCCGCTGCATTGTTCCACTCGCGGGCACAATTTGTTCCGTTAGGAATGCGCATAAATTACTGTAGTTCCTCCCGCGCAGGCTTCATGTCATCCATGTGAGGTGTTTCATCATCCGCCGGCCTCATCTTCCTCCTCCTCCTGCTCCGCTGGTACCCCAGTCAGCCTCACGCAGCATCACATAAGCACATCTCCCGAATCACACCTGAATCCAAACAAAACATTAAAACCAGCCCCTCACCTGCACCTGTCGACCTTTGTGATGTGGGAGTGGCGCGTCTCAAGGGATGAAGTTGTGGGAGCACATGCACGGGGAAGACATCATTGATGGTTTCCCTCCGACCGGTGTGTGAGCAGCCTCAGACTTCAGCGCCCGATTTCTCCGTCTCAGCCCGGGCAGAGCGCATCTGCCGGAGGGGGGTCCCCGACACCCCCACGGAGCTCCGTTTCGTTGTTAGCCGCATGAATTCCTATGAAATTCACTGAATACGTCATCTATCTGAGTTTTGTTTTGGGTTTAGTGTAGGCGAGTTTATATTCTTGAAATTTGAGAGAAAAGCAAGCCTCTTTCCGTTCCCCAAACCCCCCTCCGCCATGGCCACTTGGTACAGCCCACTACTCGACGAACCTTTCTTTGGGCTGCTCCTCTACATGCAAAGTGCCAGTGTTTGTAAACGGTGGACCCCCCACCCCCATGTGGAGCTATGGTGACTGTGTTGTTAATAACGGAACACGTGTGTGGTGTAAAGGCCTGAAAAGAGACTGTCCACCACTGAAAATGCTGGTAGCCTTCACTCACCTAGGATGCCTTTTCAAAATAAAACTCAGATCCATTAAAAAGATAATATTACATGCTCATTTTATTCCATTTAAACCTGCTCTGCGTCTGATGTAATTCATGCTGTCAGCAGTGGCGCCCCCAAAGGGTGGCTAGATGGGGCCATGGCCACTGCTGGAAAACTGTTGACCATACAATCATCATCTTAAGCATGGACGTCACTAGGACTGAGATATGGGGGGGGGGGGGGGGGGGGGGGGGCTTAGCCCCAGGAGCCTGACCTTGAACATTTTTTTTCACACCCTGCAAAAACTTTGTCAATTAATTCATTATCTGAAGAACATTTAACAAAACCTATTATTTTATCACTTTCTTTTCCTTTCCTACCTTTGTGCATTTTCTCTCTTCTTTTTATAAGGAAAATAACACTTAATCAGTTCATTAGTGGGGTCTATGTTGAAGAAAGATTTTATGTAAGTCCATTAAAAATTAGATATGTTATATTTCCAAATAAAGCTATTCTTTTCAGTCTACTGCACTTAACAGGGGGAAATGTTGCAGTCATTTGTTTAATTACAACTTGCTTAATTATAAATGTTACTGAAGTATGACAAAGAACAAATGAATAATTGTCAAACTTTTATTCTGCCAAATGAGTGTGCAGTTGACAGTTTTAATATATGAATAACACTGATATGATATGGAATAAAGCAGTATGTAATTAACAATTACAAGACAAAATAACAGTATATATAAAAATTAGGGCTGGGACTTGATTAAAATTTTTAATCTAATTAATTACAGGCTTTTTAATTAATTAATCTAAATTAATCACATTTTAATCGTTCAGGAAAATGTGCTCTCAAAGCAAAACTTAATTAAAATTATGAGACAGAGAATTAAACATTAGACATGGTTATTACAGTAAAACTAAAGCTTTAAATAAAAAATGCATTTTAATTAATCAAATGTCACTGTGTGATATGAAACAAGACCCAAATCAACTAAAATGTATAATTACAAATAGAAAACGCCTGCAAAGGGTTCCTGAGCCATTAAATAGTCTCTCTGTCTAGTTGAATTACTGAAATAAGTTTGACTTTGCACCAGATTCTAATTTTTCCAGTTTTACTTGTTTGTATAATTGGGAGTTTTTATTAGCATTTCTACTCATAATGTAGTAAAAACACATAAATAATAATCCTTCAAAATGACAGTAGAACTGGCACAAATATGATCTAGGACTTAAATGTACTAACTTTTAACACCAGAGCAGGCATGGCATATTCTGAGAATGATCAGGAACATTAACTGGTTCCAGTTCGATGACTGGAGGATGATGGGAAGATAAAAGATCATGGCGAGGAAATAATGATCTGACGAACAGGTGAGCGGACCTTCCTTACATGGGAAGTCCTGATGTCACGTTAAGAAGCGGATGCTGCAGACCCGCAGATTCACGCCTGCAGCAGCGAATCTGGTGTGATCTCCAGCCTGATCACAACTTCCTCGTTCCTCGCTGCCCCTGATGCACTTAAGCATCCGCCCCTCAGCTGATGACAGCTTCAACACACCTGCTGCTAAATTATAGTAATGCATGCGATGATGTTTAGACAGAGACTCGTCTCAGAAACGTATAACTCCCCGACAGAATTGTTTAGAAAATCATCAGAAAAGTTTCAGAGTGTTTCTGTTTTAACTTAAACTTCTGTTTTCAACTTTAAGACACGTTGTTTGTGATTGTTTACAGAGTAGTGAGAACACGGAGCGTTCTCCCAGCTGCAGCCAGGTGCCTCTCGTTTGTCTCACTACTTTCATAAACTACTGTTAGGGCACAGAATTATTCTGTCTGGTGCTTTCAGCGCTGCACAGATGTTACGTAAATGTTAAAAATATAGCTTACCGCTACTTTTGTAAAGTTTCCGGTGCCACCGGGCAGCCGCAGCAGAGACGATCTCTGAAAAATGTCCGCGACACGGACTTCGTTGTTGTCAGGAAGTTTGTTTTTCAAGTTAAGAAAAGAGGCGGACGGGTTTCCTAAATCCTGCATCAGTACAAGCAAGGCAACTTCTTTCCGTTAGTAGCCATTAGCACTGTGCATTGTTGTGTGCGTCAGTGATATTTTGTCTATGAGGAATTCGTGCTCGAAATGCAAGCTGCGATTAAATGCGTGAAATTTTTTTAACGTGTCATTTTTTCCCTAATTAATCATAATAACGCGTTAAAGTCCCAGCCCTAAAAAAAACTCAAAATGATAGGGGGGGCTTGTGATTATTTTAGGGGGGCTGAAGCTCCCCTAAAACGGACCTAACGACGTCAGCGGTCTTAAGTCAAGATATCAATGTTGTAGTCAGTTAATTAACATATTTTAATACAATTTTTATAACTAATGTATTTGATTAATCACAATTTGAATGTAAATAATACAGTCTCACAATTTTGGGACAAATGTATAAATAACCGTTGTTGTAGAAGTTTTTGTTGAAACAGTAACAGGCAAAATAAACCGTTTTAAAAGTCTAAAAACAATTAAATTTGTAATGTTTGAAATGTTTATTTTTGTCTTTTCCTGAAATGTTTGCGTCTCAGATTTGAGGTAAATGTGTTGGGTTCATGGGCCTAATGACGGAACAATGTGATACACAGACACAGACTAGCCCGTCCCAGAATGGGACCCCAAAACGTTTCCTAACCCCCCCCCCCCCTGAACATTTGCCTGGGGTTGCACTGGTCAGCAGGGGCGGATTTAGGACTGAAGAAGATCCGGGGATTAACACACACACGCACGCGCGCACACACACACGTGCGCACACAAGCATATGGGCACACACACACGTGACACGCACTAGTCAACATACATATTTGTCTTGTACCACATAATCTTTAATCTGAAGCTACATGTTAAGCATTTTCAGGGCAGAGTATTGTTCCTGTTAGTGTTTAGTGTGAGATGATAGTAAATATTCCCTTTCGTTCTCCAACAACTTTACCTGATAGTAAGCTAACTTTAGGCAAACCAGCAGCACAACAAATATTTTCAAATAAGACTCACAAACCTGAGTCAACACCAGTCTCATCAAAGCTGGGGTTCTGTCGTTGTACTCTTGGTCTAAAAAACGTCCTTATGTCCATCTTCACTCATGCGTTTCAGGCAGAGAGTGTAGAAGAAGCCGGCTGCTGAAGGGCTTCTTCAGTGGTGGAGGCTCAGGCAGGCTGTATAAAAAATACTGCCAGCTTCTCCCTCTCTGTTGGACTTTGGTACTGCATGTTACTTCCACGTTTTAGATCCGGGGCTTTTCATGAAACATCCGGGGCTTCAGCCCAAGTAGCCGGGCCTAACGCCGCCCCTGCTGGTCAGTAAGAATATCATTGTGATTTTAAATGTGTGTGTGTGTGTGTGTGTGTGTGTGTGTGTGTGTGTGTGTGTGTGTGTGTGTGTGTGTGTGTGTGTGTGTGTGTCCGTGTGTGTGTCCGTGTGTCCGACACGTTGGGAGCCCCAACACTTTGGGTGGGCCGCACTGTGCCAGAGCGTTGCTTTCCGACACCCACAGTTAAACGAAGATTTTACCGAATTCTGACCATTACCAACTGTGGACCCACCACCCGCAGGAGGAACATGAAGGGTCCGGTGCAATGTGGATCGGGTGGCAGACCAAGGCGCGAGCCTTGGCGTTCCGATCCCCGGACAAGAAAACTAGTTTTTGGGACATGGAACGTCACCTCTCTGGCGGGGAAGGAGCAGGAGCTTGTGGCAGAGGTTGAGCGGTACCGGCTAGATATAGTTGGACTCACCTCGACACATAGCATTGGCTCTGGAACTTAAGTCCTTGAAAGGGGTTGGACACTCTCCTTTGCTGGAGTTGCTCCGGGTGAGAGGTGGAGGGCTGGGGTTGGCTTTTGTTAGCCCCAAGACTCTCTGCCTGTGTGTTGGGGTTTACCCCGGGGGACGAGAGGGTAGCTTCCCTGCGCCTTCGGGTCGGGGAACGGGTCCTGACTGTTGTTTGTGCTTATGGGCCAAATATCAGTTCAGAGTACCCACCCTTTTTGGAGTCCCTGGGACGAGTGCTAGATAGTACTCCATCAGGGGACTCCATTGTCCTGCTGGGGGACTTCAATGCTCACGTGGGCAATGACAGCATGACCTGGAGGGGTGTGATTGGGAGGAACGGCCCACCTGATCTGAACTCGAGCGGTGTTTTGTTATTGGACTTCTGTGCAAGCCGCAGTTTGGCCATAACGAACACCATGTTTGAACATAAGGAGTCCCATCGGTACACTAGGTGCCAGGGCAGCCTAGGTCGCAGGTCGATGATAGACTTTGTAGTCGTAACATCTGACCTGCGGCCGTATGTTTTGGACACCCGAGTGAAGAGAGGAGCGGAGCTGTCAACTGATCACCACCTGGTGGTGAGTTGGATCAGATGGCAGGGGAAAATGCCGCTTAGACCTGGCAGACCCAAACGCATAGTGAGGGTCTGCTGGGAACGCCTGGCAGAAGAACCTGTCAAGACGGTCTTCATCTCCCACCTCCAGCAGAGCTTTGATCGCATCCCAAGAGCAATGGGGGACATCGACTCCGAGTGGGCCTTGTTCCACTCTGCGATTGTTGAGGTGGCT